CTGTATCAAAACACTGCATGTACCCCATAAATAATGTACAACTTTTATATATCCAAAATAATTAAAAATAATAAAAATTTACCTAGTCTCAGTTTTTGTGTTTTTTTTTTTTTATTTTCAATGTTTTTTTTCAGGAAATTATGAGAGTACAAACATTTTGGTTGCATTTTATATCTTTGCCTCTCCCTAGCAAGGGTACCACATCCCTCAGTTGTGAGTCTATCCCCTCAACCCCCTAATCCCTGCAGAACACCACCACCATGTGAACACCATAGTGTTAATCAGTCAGTACCAATTTGATGGTGAGTACATGTGGAGCTCATTCTTCTGATCTTGTGTCATCTCACTTTGGATAATGGGCTCAAGCTCAATCCAGGAAAATATAAGCAGTGCTAGATCACTGTCATTTTTTATAATTGAGTGATATCCTATTGTATACATATACCAAATTTTAATAATCCAATCATGAATTGACAGGCACCTGGGTTGTTTCCACATCCTTGCAATAGTGAATTGTGCTGTCGTAAACATTTGGGTGTAGATGTCTTTATTATAGAATGCCTTTTGCTCTTTTGGGTAGATGCCTAATAGTGCTATTGCTGGATCAAATGGCATTTCTATTTTTAGCTCTTTGAGGTATCTCCAAATTCTTTTCCACAGAGGTTGCACTAATTTGCAGTCCCACGAGAAGTGTAAGAGTGTTCCTATCTCTCTGCATCCTCATTAGCATTTGTTGTTTTGGGATTTCTTGATACAGGCCAATCTCGCTGGGGTTAGGTGATATCTCATTGTGGTTTTGACTTGCATTTCTCTAATGATTAGAGATGTTGAGCATTTTTTAATATGTTTGCTGGCCATTATTCTGTATTCTTTTGAAAAGTTTCTGTTCATTTCCATTGCCCCTTTATTGATGGTGTTGTTTGATTTTTTCTTATTGATTCTTTTAAGTTCTAGATAGATTCTTGTTACCAGACCTTTAACAGATGTATAGAGAGCAAATATTTTCTCCCATTCTGGAGGCTGTCTATTCGCTCTAATGATAGTTTCCTTGGCTGTGCAAATAAATGCTTTTTATTTTGATCAGAACCCATTTGTTTATTTTTGTTTCTGCAGTGATTGCTTTGTGGGTCTTCTTCAAAAATTCTTTGCCTAGGCCAATGTCTGAAAAGGTCTTTCCAACATCTTCTTCTAGAATTCTTAAGGTTTCATGCCTTATGTTTAAGTCTGTTATACATCATGAGTGGATTTTTGTTAGAGGTGAGAGGTAGGGATCCAGTTTCAATCTTCTGCATGTAGCTATCCAGTTTTCCCAGCACCATTTATTGAAAAGAGATTCTTTTCTCCAATGTATATTTGTTTCTGCTTTATCAAAGATTAGATTACCATATGCAGATGATTTCATCTCTGGAATCTCAGTCCTATTCTAAAGATCAATGTCTCTGTTCTTGTGCCAGTGACAAACTGTTTTAATTATTATTGCTTTGTAGTACAGCTTGAAGTCTGGAAGACTGACACCTCCCGGTTTGTTCTTTTTACTTAAGATTGAAACAGTCATGAAAGCAAACAAACAACCTACAGAATGGGAGAAAATTTTCACATCCTACACATCTGATAAGGGACTGATAACTAGAATATACTCATGACTATCAGCAAGAAAAAAAATCAAACAACCCTATCAAAAAGTGGGCAAAGGCAATGAACAGAAACTTTTCTAAAGAAGACAGAAGAATGGCCAACAAACTTATGAAAAATGTTCAACATCTCTAATCATCAGGGAAATGCAAATCAAAACCACAATGAGATACCACTTATTTCTAGCAAGAATGGCCTTTATCAAAAAGTCCCAAAACAATAGATGTTGGCATGGATGCAGAGAGATAGGAACACTCCTACACTGCTGGTAGGACTGCAAACTAGTTCAACCTCTATGGAAAGCAATATGGAGATACCTTAAAGCGATATAAGCAGATCTGCCATTTGATCCAGGAATCCCATTACTGGGCATCTACCCAAAAGATTAAATGACACTCTACAAAAAAGACATCTGGACTCGAATGTTTATAGCAGCACAATTCACAATTGCAAAGCTGTGGAAACAACCCAAGTGCCCATGAATTCATGAGTGGATTAATAAAATGTGGCATATGTATACCATAGAGTACTATTCATCTCTAAGAAACACTGGTGATATAGCACATCTTGTATTTTCCTGGATAGAGCTGGAACCCATACTACTAAGTGAAGTATCCCAAGAATGGAAAAACAAGCATCACATATACTCACCAGCAAATTGGTATTAACTGATCAGCACCTAAGTGGACACATAGGAATTACATTAATTGGGTATTGGACAGGTGGGAGGTAGGAGGAGGGGGCGGGCATATACATACATAATGAGTGAGATGTGCACCGTCTAGGGGATGGTCACACTTAAAGCTCAGACTTGGGGGAGGTGGGGCAAGGGCATTTGAAACCTTAAAATTTGTACCCCCATAATATGCTGAAATTTAAAAGAAAAAAGAAAAATGGGAAATAAAAAAGATTGCTTTGGCTATACAAGGTCTTTTCTGGTTCCATACAAAGTAAAGAATTATTTTTTCTACATCTGTAAAGAATGATGATGGTACTTTGATGGGGATTGCATTAATTCTGTAGATCACTTTAGATAATATTGACATTTTAACAATATTGATTCTACGAATCCATTAGCAAGGTAGATTTTCCATCTGTTTACATCTTCTACAATTTCTTTTTTTAGTGTTTCATAGTTCTCCTTATATATGTCTCTCATATATTTTGTTAAATATATTCCTAGATATTTAATTTTCTTTGGGTTTATAGTAAAAGGTATTGTGTTTTTGATTTGAGTTTTGGCTTGACTGTTATTGGTGTATTTGAATGCCTCTGATTTGTGTGTATTGATTTTGTAACCTGAGACTTTACTGAATTCATTAATGTCATATTAATTACATATGTAATATGTATTACATGCATTGAACATAATGAGAAAAATGATGAGAGCAAAGACGAAGAATTTGCATTTACTGAGATTTTTTTCTGATATGAGGCACTGTGATAAGTAGTTTGCACACATTATCTCAGGGCTGACTGATGCTAATCAAATATTTTATATGGCATTGCAATATTTAATGTTAATTTTAAAATAAAAAACACCAGTGCTTAGGCAGGGGTGGACTTTTAAATATTTAATAAGTGATATGTCATGGACAGGACATGAACTGATTAAAATAAAATTAGAATAGAAGTTGGGTATAAACATTGGTATTACTATACTGGTGCTGTCAGCTAAGTATCAACCTGTAAAATCTGGATAGCAATGTGATATAAAATAGAGTTTTATTCATCTTATAAATGGGACTCAGGGGCCCAGTAACTCCATGAAATATCTAATAAAACACTGTGCATATGTGTGCATTCTAAATGTCTTAATCTGTTCTGTGTGCTAGCACAGAATAAAACTAGCTTTCATCTCTCAGCCTAGGCCTAGAGACATTTCTTAATCTTTCTTTTGACTAGAGGATTTATTGGAAGGCTTTGACTGGAATGATCAGTGAGCAAAGAAACTAGACTATAATTTGCTGGTCATTGTTAACCAGGGTCACTCTGGTTCAATATGGGTGTATCAAGTTATTTGATGATAGAAGCACATGCAAAGTATTTTTGTTCATATTCATTTTTTTAAGAGGGATAATTATTTTGTTACATCTTTGATCTTGAGATCATTAGTCAAATTTTAAAACATACTATTTCATGCAAGGTCCTTTGTGGAATAAACCAAATTATTAATTCAGCCTCTGCACAGAAACACCTTAAAAGTTAGTTGGGGAAACAACATGCATAGACTTAAGATTATAACTATCATCATCAAACAAAGATAATGTAAATAAATAGTATAGGAAAAAAGTGACCAATATGTGTTCTTGCAAGGTCCGCGAGAAATGTGAGAAGTTTAATTTTTAAATGTAAAAATATGTTTCTATAAGTTTACTATATTTCATATCTTCATTTAAGAGAGATACTGAGCTGATACCTAATTTATATGTTATGGCCCTAAAAGCATTCTTTTGTAAATATATTATCTAATATAGTTAATTGTAAATATGTAAGTTAGGAAAAGAATAAAACAAAATTTTTATTAAAAATAAAAGGAAGAGACTAAAATAAATTGGCTTCTATTGGTTTGTCCAGAATGCTTGTAGAACAAAAGAATACTGAATCAAATATAGTAATTTCAGGGATATTAAGAAACACGTGGAGGGCAGATGTGGTGGCTCACACTAATAATCCCAGTTCTTTGGGAGGCCAGGGAGCAGGATCGCTTGAGGCCAGGAGTTTGAGAACAGCCTAAGCAACATAGTGAGACCCTGTCTCTGTTATAAAAAAAGAGAGACAAAGAAAAAAAGAAAAAAATTGAACAAACAAATTAGCAATGTTCAAAAGCAAATTATACCAGCATTAAACCTTTCAAAGTAAATTACTTATGCTTTCTATCTTCATGTAAGGATTCATTGTATTTATGTTTTTATTTCTTTTTGAATTGACATAGAATGAAAGTCATGGACTTTCTTTAAGTTTGATATAGAATAAAGTTTCTATCTATGAAAGCAAAGAAATGCCTCCATTTAAAATTAATTCCTTTTGGACATGCTCATTTGTGGACCATTCTATGCTACAGTGACTAATAACTGGACTATGTTTATATTATAAATTTTTTGTGGTTAGGTAAAATAATGTCAGGTAATTAAATAGTACTATTGTGAACTTAAAACTAATGAGAGTCCATAAAACAGGTGCATATTTGAGATTTAGCATTTTAAATAAATGTTAAATCATAAATCTTCATAAATTCATTTTGAGTCATTTACATATTTTCACCAGCAAAGATAAGTTCATTAAGGAATTTGAACAATTTGGGATAACCTATTCACAGACCCATTTTTAATGTAATTTTGATGGCACAAAATATGTTTGTTTTACAGGTTCTTCAGCAATACAATCCCCTCATATGGTCGTATATGCTACCTTTACACCTCTATATTTGTTTGAAAACAAGATCTTTGCATTAGAGAAGATGGTAAGCAGTTAAGACTAGGAAATACAATGTCATTTATGTTAATTGTGCACACGTGTGTGCATGTGTTTGTTGAAGGAGTGTGTGTGTGGTAGAAGGTGCACCGGAATTTAATTGAAATTCTATCCCTGGGTTTCATTTCCCTTGTATATAAAATTAAGTATGTGACCTGAGAGTTCTGGCATATCCAAAATTATCTTAGATCATAGCAATAGTTCAATCTAATTATAACAAAAAGAAAAAAATATATAGTCACATTTAATTTTTCTAGGTCCTTCTATTATATACAAAAGGAAAGATACAAAATTTATATTTTTTCAATGAAACTCATTTCTAAATAATAATTAATGACCTTCCCATAAATTGGCCACACATATATTCTTAACATAAGGTTATTTAAATGAATTCACCCTCAGGCTGAGAGCCACTGCTGTGATCTTCATTGTATCATAAAATAATACAAAGTAAATGATTATTGACTTTTGTGTTATAAATTTAACAAATTGTAGAAAATGTAGTCAAAGGGAATACAGTTAAAATATTCATAGTATACGTGGCTGGTCATAAACAATATTAACATTTTGGTATATATCTTTTGATTTTTCTTCTATATGTTTATTCTGTGTTTGTATGTGTGTACTTTTTTTACAGAGTGAAATCATACTTTATGTTCCATTTGGAAACCAGCTCTTCACTTAACAATATATTATTAACATTTTTTCATGGTGTTAAGTTTTAGTCAACATATGTTTAATAGTTGCATAGTATTTACATGCTTTCATAATTTTTTAAGCTATCTTTTGTTCTTGGACATGAAAACAAGTGTTTTCCTTCCCTTATAACAGTAAAGTTCATCAAATTACTAAACAATTTATTTAGACAAAGTCCCTATCCATTTGGGGCTTTCTGGATCCTAACCCTGTATGGAGACTTTAGACATCTAGCATTTTATTGAGGTTCCGACATCACTACATTAAAATATAAGAACAGATGATTCAGGGATATAATTACATATAAATGTCCATTTGGTTAATTAGAAAAAGCTGACTTTTAAAACATGAATAGAAATTACCTTGAAATGTAAATGTTCCAATTAAATGATTGTTAGACTTTATTATGTGCATTGCATTTGTCTCTTAGATTATGCCTGGGGGGCATAATGTTATCGTTTGTCCTCTGTTTTCCTTCTTTCTTTCTTCTCCTTTTTTTTAGATAGAAATCATTCTTGCCTACAAAAATCTACCAAATAACAGTGGTCATACTATAAAGAGGATAGGATATAATGTACCATCATATAGAGATTATGGCAGTTTCACTAATTTTAATCCAAAATTAAATAATATTAGCCATGGGTAAGTAGAAGAAACAGTAATTTAGGCTGGATCTTAAAATCAGAAACATTCGACAATCCAAGTATGTATCCAAAGGCTCTTCCAAATTGAGTCTCTTGTTGAGATTAGGGCTGCCCTTCTCATCTTTGATTTTTTTTTTCCAACCTCTTTACATACCACTGGCCTAGGTACTGTCTCTCATACCCCAGGGAATAAAGACTCTAACTCACAGGGCTGGTAAAGAGCACCAGCCATGCTTTGTGGAGTGCCGTGGCCTCATGTCTGAACAGTACTCACACTCCTTTTAAAACCATAAAACGAAAGCATAAGATGAGTGCATTATAAAAAGAAAAGTATACAAAATAATCCACTTGAACTTTTGGAATTGCCACTGAGAAACTAAGATTTAAACCCAAAGTTAGTTTTGAATTTAAAAGGCTAATTAAAGACTAAAACCTCACATCTGTTTATTCATTGGTTAATTTGACAGATGTTTATTAATTATGTAATAAATGCTAAACAATGTGGTATGTTCTGAGGGTATGCAAGTAAATAGACTAAAGTGTGTTCGAAGCAAAGGGAATCTTATGTTGGAAAGTCTGGAGATGAAGGAGATCCCACTGGATTCAGGGAACTGCCAGAGATTGAACAGATTGTAAGGGGAGAAGTCTTAGAGGCAGCTTGGTATATGGGTGAGAGTCAGAACATAAGGATTGTTACAAATCCTCCTTAAGGGGTTGAAAATGGTTTAAGGTACCCAAAGGTTCTGGAATTAATCCAGTGTCTGGAACAGTAATTAAGTGATCCCCAAGACTGTAATGAACTAATTATAGTGTTATGATCTCCTTATCTTGCCTGCTGGTTTTCATAGGTTAGCAGCTTATGAAAGTGAACTAGTTTTCCTAATAAATATCAGAATATAATAGAGATATAATGTTTTAACAATAAACCTATAGGAAACAATTTGTCCTAATGAAATTTTGTTAGAGTATTCTGCTCAAAGTTATTGCCCCAAAGACAGTGAGATCAAAAAGTAAAATAAAGTCAATAACTTACATTTATTTAAAGAAGTGGTGAAGAATACAAGAAAATCAAGAACAAAACCTGGAAAGGAGCAAAATGGCACAAATTATCCTATATTATTCAACATCCTCATCCTCTTGGGCATTCTAAATGGATATAATTTTATTTAGAATGGGTGATCTGGGAATTTTAAAAAAGCCTCCCCACCTGTTTAAAGCCCTACTCCTGTTTCTTTTAAAATGTTTGAAATGAGATGGAGTAAAACGAATGAAAGGGTCTTAAGAAAGTAGATTTCTAATTTAAGTCTTATGCATGAATTATTCAGCAGACACATATTGAGTGCTTATTCAATGATCCAGGCACTATTGTAAATCCCTCTCGCCCCTAATTGTAGCCCAAGGAAACTTGAAATTCTTTAGCATAGTTTCTTAACATCAAACAATAACTATTATTAATAGCATTACTTTACATGAATCAGAAATATAGTGCAGTATGTTGAAAATAAAATGAAGTACGAGGAATTGTCTTATTTAAGTTTCTCATGCCTTAAATCAAGTTAGTACTTTGGCAGATTATTGAAACTATAAGTAGGTACTAATACTGTACTATGCTATTTGGACCAGTACTTTACATTTTCAAAGTGCTTTTTATTTTCTAACTCTCGAAAGATCAAAACAGAAAGTCTTTTTAGACTAAAATGTTGGCTGTAATCATAAGGAGAAATTCACATGTAGAGACCACAAATTATGACTAATAAAATGTCTGGAACTTATTCAACTTATAAATACTACTTTAAGTATGACTTCTATTTTGGATATTATTTAAATGTAACTTTTATAACAGTGCACCTTTTTAAAAATACTATCCTGAGGCATTGTCTTATTGAATAATCTAAAATTCTCCCCTAACTTTCCATTGAAAGGATCACTTTCAAGTGTTGACTTGACTCCTGGAGACTTTTAAAATGTGGTGGGGTTGAAAATAAAAGGTCTAGATTTTAGATCATCTATGAAATATTTTTTTAAAAAACATTATAAGACATAATTCCAGAAGTTTCTGAATTTTTTTTAGCAAATTGCTAAAATCTACAAAAGGGACAAAGAGAAAATAAGAGTTTCCTTTACTTCTTAATTAGGCCACTTTTTAAAAGTGTTGACTCACTTTTCTCTATATTTTCAATATTTACAATACTTTCAAATGGCTTTGCATTAATGCACTGATTAACTCCTTAAAATTATTTTCCTGGCTTTGGGAAGAACTCTCCTTTCTTATGGGTACTTCTGTTTTGTGGCTCAGGGAAGTGTAGATTGAACTCTATCGAAGGAGGGTCATGAGAGCAAGGCAGGTTCCAGTTGAAGTAATCATTTGGAATAGACTGATAATTAGTTTTCTGGTTCTAATTTAAGGAATTATTTTGTAAATTTATAATCTCAATTGTTGCTATTGCATAGAAATTAATGATGCAAAATGATTGGAAAGAAAAATAGGTATTGGTGAAACTGACTTTAATGTGGTTAATATTTTATTTTATTTTACTTTAAATGTTAAAGAAAGCTGTGAGAGCCAGAATTTGGCTACAGGATATATTACTTTATCATTCACATACTTTTTTATTCCTTATGGCATATTTCAGCCATAAATCAGTAACCTAAGTTCTGCTTAAATGTTATTCTGAATTATTCCAAAGCAAACTGGCTTCAAGAGATCTGAGCATTCCAATATGAGAAGTATCTGCCTGGGAAAACTGCTTGATTTGGCAGGACACAGGGAGCCTTTATTCCCTGAACTTCTAAGAATGCCTCCATTGCCGTGAATAATCACGGGGATTTCCTATGGAGGAACCCACTCTTAGTGGTGAGGGCGTGAACTGGAGAGAAGCCAACTCTTTAACCATCTCACTGACCTGAAGGCACTCAAGACTGAATATTTTTGAACACTAGGTAGCAACTGCTAGTGATTAAAAAACAAACTTTACCTATTAAGCACTAGAGTTAAAGCTTTAACCTATAAAAATAACTGCTGATTAATTTTGGACCCAAACTGATAAGCTAAGATTTTTTTGCCATCTCATAGAATCTTAAGCTTTTAGAATTGAAAAAAGTATCTTCTAGTTCTAATCTGTTACTTTGTAAATAAAGAAACAGCACCCCAGAAAATGTAAAAGATGGTGATAGTGCTTATACAGAGAAATATGGGTGGTGATTTTTTTACTACCACTGTGTCAGTGTAGTGGTGATAGTATGTTTATATCGACAGAAGTATTATTTCAAATACAGGAGGCAATTGGAAGAATCCTTTTGAATCTACTTTCCATATTTTAGGCAGATTCTGCTGAGAAACTTAGAGAATATGGGCTTTCACACATCTGTAGCCATCCTGTGCTGGTGACTAAAAGTAGGTCTTGTCCCCTGGTAGCACCACCAAAGCCACCTCCCATACCTCCCTGGAAACTCATTCGTCCAAAAAAAGAAAAAGTTATAACAGATGAACCTCAAGGTATGTGTTGTTGTCTTCAAATCTTTCTAGTTATTTATCTATATGAAAGTGTAATCATTTCATTTGTGGTGAAAGATGTATGTCAAGGTAAAGCACTCAACATTGCACCTGAAATCTACATTTAATTTTATGTCCAAATTTCATGTTTTTAAAGGATTTATTCTCCACATCTCAGAAGCTGAGCAGCTTGGTTCATGTCTAAATTGGCCAGCAATATCAAGCTCATTCTTTGAGTGATGGTATTGTTACTTTTAGTGTGATAGAAAAGTAGTTTGCAGCAAATGATAAAGAAACTTAAGAAGCATATGTGAAATCACTGGAGTGAATTTCTAATGTGGAAATCACTATAGGATATCCTGTAGAATATAATGTTTGAATTATGGATTTATATTTAAAACTCTTATAGGAATAGAACTTCTACCCTGAACTGGCTTCTATGTTAATACTGCCCTGTGGCCCCTTAGTGAGTGACAATTGGCCTCAGAAGTAAATAAGTTCCCCTGGGCTCCGGGCAGGGAGGGAAGTGTTCCCACCTTGTTCTTATTCTCGCAATTCAATTGTAAATTCTATTTATATCTGATTCTTCATTCCTTCACTTTTTGTTCTCTATAAGCCTTCACATTCTCACTCCTTTTTTCATGAGCACCAAGTTCGAATGGAAGTGGGGCCAAGATGGCAAGAGACCATACATGAAAAACCAATTTTAAAGCAGAAGCATTTAATATGAGGGGAGGGGATTAAAATAAGAATCATTAATAATTAGAAGAATAATACATAATTTGTGCATGTTTATTCAACATATATAGCTTTCCTCTAGGTAATTTAGCATTTGCAGTTTTTAATGGAGGATGATAAAGAATTGGAGTGCTATGGATTATACACATGTATGTGTGTTAAATGTATATTTTCTCATTCCACAAGGCTTAAATTGTCTTTGTTTAAAATAGCTGTTTGATTATATTTCTCATGTTAATTTCTTTGCTTTTGCATTTTCTTCCTTTATTGTTTCTAATATCTTTTCTAATTCTATTAATTTAGTAACAGTATGTCATGTTCTAAAGGTTATTGTATTAAGGGTTGCACATTAGAGGTCTGTTACCTGAATGAAAAATGAAGGCAAAACCACAATGAACATATATTGTGCCATTTACTAAAGGCATCTCTGCTAAGTTTATAAATGTGCTTGAAATGGTTATTGCCTAACTATGGCTTGTGCCTCTTTTGGTGGTGGAAATGTCTCTGAATTGCTGTGGTTCTTGTTCTACAGTGTTGTTAATCCTTCATTGCAAATTGCAGGAGAACCATATCCTAGTGTAATACATACATCTCAGGGGTACTCAAGATCCTAAAACTGCAGTAGCCACACAGATTGGAATATTTACCTGTTCCTTGCTTCCTACTTCCTGCCATAATTTATACATTTAAAAAATATAAATAATAACTGTCAACCATGTAATTTTCCTCACATTTGCTTTCTGCCTACATTGACATAGCCAGTACAACTGGTAGCAAGGATTTCTCTAGCACAACATATGTTATCCTTGCCAGAAAGAAACAAAGATTAAAGAAATATCTGATTTGGGTGGAGAGGAAAAATAATCAATTCATTTTTTACTTAGGCCCAACTTCCTCTCCCCTTCCTGCTTAATTATTTCAATTATTCCTTACATTCCTTGAGTTTCTGCAGTGGGCTGTTGGTGCCAACAAAGTACATCTTGCTCTTTGGGTTAAAAGAACTTCCCATTCTTCCCTCCCTCCCTCCCTCCCTCCCTCCCTCCCTCCCTCCTTCCTCCTGCTCCTTCCGTTCTTCCTCCCTTCTTCCTTCTTCTCCCTTCCTTCCTTCCTTCCTTCCTTCCTTCCTTCCTTCCTTCCTTCCTTCCTATCCTTATTGTCTTTCCTGAACCAAAGATCTGCATCCACATAACAGTTGAAAGGAAAAAAAAATCATTTATTTTTAAATGCTATATTTTAGTTAAAATGCATGGAGCCACTTAAAATACTTGTTCATTCAGAGTATCAAGGAATAGCTAAATGAAAGGAAGAGTAGTGAACATACTAGTAACTTCTGATTTTGCTACTGATAGTTGTATAATTCTAGGTAAGTAAACATTCTTTTGTAAATTGGGGATGAAAATCTAACAAGTGGTAGAATTCTATAATGTCAGTGCCCTACCTAGAGGCTCATCATGTAATTGTCTTTCTTCTCTCCATTGAATTCAATATTTAAAGTGCAAGTTAACAGAAAATGGGGAAGGAGATCATTTTAGAGGATAGTGCAGAACAATCTGAGAAAATTATATATACTGTGTCATAACTTCACTTCTTTCCTAATAATGACCCCTAATTTCAGTGTTCACCATGGTGATCCACATGCTGTGCTCATTACTCATTAAGAATTTCTTATTTCTAGATCACCTTCAGAGTCTTTTAGGAATATCCACAAATATTCTCCTGACCTGCTGCTTTCTTTTCTACTCATGAGCTTTACTTTGTTGCGTTTTTTCTTCTTCCATTATTATCTCCTTAAGTTAGTTCACATTTCTTCTTTATGCCCTAAGCAACTGTGTTGAGAGGTTAACTAAGGGAACACATATTTTTAAGTAAAAACCTGTATAAAAAGTCATTCCTGTACTTGAAATAGCAAATGTCAAAGAATAACTCTATACGACATTGCTAACTTTCTCCCTTGAGACTTAATTGTTTCAAGTAATCTGGAAAGCAACCAAAGAATAGACAAAAGAAATCTAATATTGGCAAGATCTGTAAACTCTTTCAATAATAAAACTTAATGTATCTTTGTACATTCCTATTTAACTGTTGAGATTTGCTGAGTTAATAGTTATTCTAATCAGTATTGTATTAAATGTTAAATTCTGCAATATTAAAAAAACACACATCACACTTCCTAATTGTTATTTTTAAGATCTAGTAATAACGAAGCCTGAACAGTTTCTTGAGATTTCAAGTCCATTTTTGAATTATGGAATGACTCCATTTCCCATTCCAAAAGAAACGTAAGTGCATAACATTCTTTTTTACAAATGTGTCTCATTAACAGAGTATTTTGTGATGTATGTGGTTAAAAATAACACTAAATGAGATCATTTTAAATAATATTAATTTAAAAATAAGATCATATATATACACACACACATATTAAAGGATATTTCCTTGACCTTTTATAGCTTACAATTACACTAATTCACTTAATTAATAAATATTTTTTTGCTCAACTTTATGTGTGTTATAGACTGAACTTTTAATTTCCCTTCAAATTCATGTGTTAAAGTTCTAACCCCCAGTGTGGCTGTATTTGGAGATGGGCCTCTAAGAAATTAATTAAGGTTAAATAAGGTCATAAGGGTATGGTGCTGATCTAATTGGATTAGCACCTATATGATAGGTAAAAATGAGGAGAGACACGCCAGAGGAAGTGCTTTCTCTCTCTCTCTCCATGCACACATGGTGGAAAGGCCACGTGAGTGCCCAGAGAGAAGGCAGCTCTTTGCAAGCCAGGAAGAAAGCCTTCTGACAAACAAACCCTGCTGGCACCCACCCTTATTGATCTCACACTTTCAGTCTCCAGAATTGAGAGGAAATAAATTTCTCTTATTTAAGCCACCTAGCCCGTGATATTTTGTTATGGCAGCCTGAGCAAACAAATGCAGATTTTGGGACAGAGAAGTGGGACTCTGCTATAACAAATATCTAACAACGTGGAACTGGCTTTGGAACTGGGTACTGGGTAGAGAGTGGAAGAGTTTGGGGATACGTGCTAGAAAAAGCCTACATTATCTGAAGGGACTTTTGGTTAGGTGATTTTGATAAGGGCTCGGAAAGAAAAGAGAAGGGCACACTTCCAACTTCTACGAGAATACACAATTATAAACATAATGTTGGTATAAATATGGACAATAAAGATCTTTCTGGTAAGGTCTCAGGTGAATGAATTACATATTATTTGAAACTGAAGGCAAGATAATCCTTGTTATAAAGTGGTAAAGAATTTGGCTGAATTGTCTTCTAGTGTTTTATGAAAGTTAGAACTTGTGAACAATGATATTGGCTATTTAGTGGAGGAGATTTCTCAGCAAAATGTTAAAGGTGTGGCTGGTTTCTCTTAACTGCTTATAGTAAAAACACAAGAGGAGGGAGACGAACTGAAGAAGGAATTTTTTTCCACAACAGAACCAGAACACAAAGATTTGGAAAATTCTCAGCCTGTCCATATTGCCAAAAATGAGAAAGTGTGTTTTGAAGAGAACACTAAGGGAGTAGTTATATGATCACCAAATAAAAAGATTATAGGATTATACCCATGATCTGATCATGTGGTATGGATTATTTTAGCAGAAATACCAGTTTGAACTGAAAGAGATGAAAATGGGACCAAATGAAAGAAGGCTGTGAAATTTTGGGGGCTGATGGGATGGGACCATAGAGCTATCCAGCTGCAAACAGGCCTTATCCGTCAAGAAAAGGCCAGAATAACCCCTAAAGTGATTCAGAAATCATCTGGGCTGCTACTCGCACCACAGGCCCAGGGGGAAAGGCTGCTTTCTCCTAGATTTCAGCAGGCCAGGTGGGCCTCACAGAGAGCTAAGGAGGCTGGGCTGCCCTACAGAGCCTAGGGGGTGAAGCTGCCCCTGCAGAGGGCCCAGAGGGCAGAACATCAAACAAAAGAGAAGTATTCTTAAGCCTTAAGCTCTAATAAAATTTTCCCTGCTAGGTTTTCGACTTATATGTCTTTCGACTTATATGTCACCCCATTTCATCTTTCCTATTTCTCCCTTTTGAGAGGGGAATGTCTACCCTATTCCTCTCCCAGCATCGTATTTGGAAGCATGGAACTTGTCTAGTTTCACAGGTTCACAGCTGTGAAAGTTTGCCTCAGGATGAATCCTACCTCCTTTGAGGCTCACCCATATGTGATATAGATGATTACCAGATGAAACTTTGAACTGTAGACTTTAAAGTTGATGCTGGAATGAGTTAAAACTTATTGTGGTCATTGGGATGGAGTAAGTGTATTTTGTCTGTGAGAAGTACATGAATTTGTGTATGGGGGTTCATAGGTAGAATATTATGGACCAAAAGTTTGTCTCCCCCAAATTCATATATTGAACCCTAATTCCCATTGGGGCTGTATTTGGAGATGGGCCTCTAAGGAAGTAATTAAGGTGAAATGGGGTCATAAGGAAGAGGCCTAGGATGTAGAGGAATAATGTCCTTATAAGAAGAAACACAAGAGAGTGCATCTCTGTCTCCAAATATTCAAACTGAGGGAAGGTCATGTGAGTACACAGCTTTAATTTTGTTATGGCAGTCCAAGCAGACTAATACAGCAAGACACTATATTTCACTTGAAGGTAGAAAAATAAGACTTTGCCCCTCATAGTTATCAACTTCTGGGGGAAGCTGCATGTATTAATATAAGTATATAATTACAATAAAATGTAATAATTGCTATTACAAAAGCATGTCTCAAATTCGATAGTTGTATGTCAAAGAACTTATTTTGCAGAAATAGTTGGAACCCTGAATATAAGAGTCCTTGCTTCAGTGATTGTGCAGGAGGTGGGAGAACACGTGGCTCTCCTGGATATTGTGGCTCCTCATCTTCCTGGTGGTCATAAATGCACCCAGTGTTCGAGGTCCTGCCCTCCTTCTCTTCCCCCATTACCCAGGCATAATCTTCCAATTAAAAGTTCACACTTCAGAGACACAATGGAAGCTTTGTCCTGAGGGTAACTAGTGGAGTCAGCTGCTGTGAAGGTGATTGTATAATTAGCTCACCTGCCCTTGCCAAGATTTCTTTCCACACTGTCTATAGCCCATGTCTTTCCCCAAGCCTCTGCTGATTTAAGATTCACTGGAAAGGTTGTGGGTAAAGTCAGTGACTGCCCTCTTTGTTATCCTAATGGGATTGTGGGTTTTTCTGCTCTTCTGTTTTGCCATCAATCTTCTCATCTATCTCTGGGGAAAGTATCACAGCTCTCATTGTGGCATTTCTATTTTGCCAGTTCTGTATGATTTTCCTTTTAGTTTTTAATTTCTCTGAGATTCCAATGGGACCTAGACGGAAGGAAAAGGATATGTTTGTATTCAGTCTGTTATCTTGAACTAGAATGCTAATCTCTTCTTGCAATTTCCCATTTTGGCTGTCCCTTCATTGGCATTTCATCTCCCATGGCTGTTCTCTTTCTTCTATGCTTTATCCAGTTAGACCCAGACCTTACTTTACCTTGATGATACTCCACTTCCCATTCCTTAAAACCAGCCAAACAAATCCAAATGAAGAAAAATATTCATGCAAATTATTTGCATTTACAGCAGAATTTTCTGTAGGTTTCATGGAAAGTATTGATAGGTTGAGGAAGGCATTATATTTTGGTGATATTTATGCAACCTATATAATAAAATGGAAACAGTGGATACTGCCACTCTTAAATCATTCAGCCACTCCACTATGGGGGATTTCTACTGGCCACCATTATCAATAGTCTCCCAAGCTTCTCATCATTTGGATAGTCTCTTCCATCTTTTCCCCTCTCCACCCTCCTGTTTCATTCATACTCAGAGAGCAGGATAACTTGCCCTTTGTGTTCTGCTCTACCTCCTCAAAGACTATGCCTTAAAAGCCTTACCTTTCACCTTACCTTTCCTGTCTTAGTCCAAGGTTTGCTCAAGCCACACCTAGGGCTGTGGATGAGAACAGCAACAAAATGTGGGGAGTGGAGCCCATGACAGGAAGCAGCCCAATGCAGCACAGGCCACTCCTTTGAAATTTTTCTGCCCTCCCCCCTCAGGCCGTTAAACTCTGGGCCTGTGATAGAAAGGGCAGCCGCATTGATCTCCCAAATATCTTCATGGTCATTCTTCCATTGCCTCAGACAATAGGGTCCTTGATGAAATAGCTCCTAGCTTCTATTGAGATGACTGATCTATATTAATCTCTCTTTCAAATTTGGCCACACTTTCTATGTTCTTTCCATAGTCGTTCTCATTTTTTCCCATATGAATAGGCTAAGAATTTCCCAAATCTATTTCTCTTTTCTACTATTAATATAAGGAGTCAAGAGAAGTCAAGCCACATCTTCAGCACTTTATTTAGAAATATTCTCAATCAAATATTTAATTTCATCTCCCACAAGTACTACCTTCCACAAAAAACTAGAACACAAACATAATTCAACCAAGTTCTTTGCCATTTTATAACAAGGTTGGCCTTTCTTCCATTTTCCAATAGCATATTCCTCATGAGACCATCTGAGACCTCATCAGAATGGCCCTACCATATATAATTCTACTAACATTCAGTTCACAACTACTTTGGTATTCTTTGAGAATACTGAGGCAACTCTCCTCTGTTCTTTCCAGGCCCTTACCAGAATCATCTTTAAAGGTCTTTATGGCAATGTAGGATTTTTCTAGTACATACCTCAAAACTGTTTCAGCCTCTATCCATTACTCTCTTCCAAAGCTGCTTCCACATTTTTAGGTAGTTGTTATAGCAACAGCTCCACTTGTCAGCACAGATTTTCTGTCTTAGTCTGTTTGGGCTGCTACAACAAAATACTATAAACCAGTGGCTTATAAACACAAAAATTTTTATCTTACACTTCTGGAATCTGGGAAATCCAAGATGAAGGTGCTAGCAGATTCAATATCTGGCGAGGACCTGCTTCCTCATTCATGGCATCTTCTAGCTATGTACTCACATTCACATGGTAGAAGGGGTGAATGAGCTCTCCAGGGTCCCTTTTATAAAGGCACTAATCCTGTGCATGTGTGCTCTGGCCTTATGACCTAATCACCTCCCAAAGGCCCCACTTTTAATACCATTACCCCACAGTTTAGAATTTCAACATATAAATTTTGGAGGGATACATACATTCAGACCATTGTACCTCACTTATGCCATCATCTAGCAAGTAACGTGGTCTATCAAGGTGTTTTCTAAATGAATATAGTTCTTCTCCTAAAATAAATAACCTGTGAAGCTGATGAAATGTGTTTCAGGTTTTTTAAATTTCCTTTCTATATATATATGAAAAATCTTCAAATATCTTACAACATTTACATGTACCACATTATCTTATTATTATTAGTTTTCTACATATGTAAAAGAATATTGTATAAGTTGTTTTCCATTCCCGCTGGACTTTTCAGTTAAAGAAGCCAATGGAGTTTCTTTTCCTATTAAAGCTACTATGAGTTAGGCTTCTGTTGCTTAGGACTCAAACAGTCCCAACTGATACTGTGCTATAATAAAAATTAAATGCAATGTTATCATCACTGTCACTAATTTGGCCCAAATTAATGTTAATTAACTGCTTATAATACAAATTATTATGTTAAATAATGCCTTTTTTTCTTAGGTAGAGCATACCCAAAGTCTTCCTTGTTTTCTTGGTGAATCATACACAGCATTATTAGTATACTGTCTTCTTATTATCAAAGTGACTTCAAGCACTTTGAGCAACTACAATTACACTAACATTCAGTGACCCCAGACTAGTGGACCTTTCTGGGTGTTGTTCCTTTGATTGGTTTAGTTGCAGTTTTTATTTTGCTTTCACAGTATTAATGATTTCTTTATCAGTGCTTAATTTTGTCCACTTCTAATAGCCTTGCCTCCTTCAAATTTGTCTCTAATTTGCTGGGTGTAATGAGTAACATCACCAAATTTTAGAATTAATTAGCATTGGCATATATATACTTATGATGAAGACCTTCAAAGTTAGCTTATGTGCTTTGTGTCTATATTATAACATCTTGATATTTAACATAGTACTTCGGAAATAACAGGTACTCAGTAAATATTAATTGAATTGAAAATATTTTGAGGCATCTAAGTTATTCAGAAATTTTAATTTTCAGAATATTCAATATGGTAGCCACTAAGCACATGTGGCTATGTAAATTTTAAGTAATGGCATATAAAATTAAAAATTAAATTCCCTAGTTGTATTAGCCAAATTTTAAGTTCCCAATAGTCAAATATTCTAAATAAATATTTCATCATTGTATAAATTTCTTCTAAATGTTAAAAGAAGTAAATAAGTGACCTTCTTTTAATTGTAGCATTTTATTATAAAACTATCATTACATTTTTAGTTTTTATTATTTTCACATATATTTCTATGTACAGATTAAAATTGGAAATGCTAACCTATTTATATAATATAACATAAGCAGGTGAAATTTTCCTTGTTGTATTAAAAAGACCAATTGAATTTAATTGTCCCAATAACATAGTTAAAGTATTTCAACGTTTTCAATCATTCTTTTTTTCCTATGTAACCTCACAGGGCAAAAGGGGCAAAAAATCTCTCTGTGGTCTCTTTTATAAAGTCCCTTATCTATTCAAGAAGTCTCCACTCTCATGACCTAATTATCTTTGAAAGGCTCCACTTCCAAATACCATCACATTAAGGATTAAGTTTCAACATATGAATTTTGGAGGAATACAAACATTCAGCCTATGGCATATAGACAGAATTTATCTAAACTTAACATAAAAACATTAATGGTTCATAATTTTTCTAATTAAATTTATGCTTAAAGTTTTCTACTGTTGTTTAGGTTTTCCAGATAGAACCAATAGGAGATATAGATGTAGATTAGATATAAATATAGATATATAAGAGGGGATTATTGGGGTAGTTGGCTCATGAAGTTATGGAAGCTGAGAAATCCCATGATCTACAAGCTGAAGAAGCAGGGGGACTTGTAGTGTATGTAAGCCTCAGAACCAGGGAAGCCCTGGTTGTAATTCTCAGTCTGAAGCCAAAGGTCCAAGAACCTGAGATGCTGCTGGTGCAAGTCCCAGAGTCCAAAGGCCAGAGAACCTGGAGTGCTGACATACAAAGGCAGAAGAAGGGCATTCCAGCTTGCAGAGAGAGCCAATTCACCTTTCCTTAGCCTTTTTGTTTTATCCAGGCTCCCAGCCAACTGGATTGCCTGCCCACATTGAGGGAGGATCTTTCCACTCAGTGCACTGACTGCCATACCAGTCTCCTCTGGAAGTGCCCTCACAGACACACCCAGGAATGATGCTTGACCAGCCATCTAGGCATCCCTTCATCCAATAAAACTGACACCTAAAATTAACATCACACCCACTAAGATGATGATTTTGCCATTTCAACTAATTTTTGTTTATCCCATGGCTATGAGATAAATTTGCATTACTAATCAGAGATTTTGAGGGTTGTAAGAATTGGAGCTGCAGACTGCCAGGACAAACTTTCTCAATATTTAAATAACTATACCCAGCCTTTTAGAAATCTCTATGCCATTAGGGAACACAAATGGGCTGGTTTCATAACCTGAATCCCTGAATTATTCCCTTACTTGATATTGCTGTACCTTCTTTCAGCTTTATTACTTAAGGTGGATGAAATTCTAATACTCAGATACCAGAGACTTCATCACTTGATTGGATTCAACTAATCTATTCATTGCTTGAATCTGCTATGAATGCATTGCATATTCATTTTATTTAGCGGAGCCAAAGACAAAGATTAGTGAATGGCATTCCATCCTAAGTAACAGACATGTCCCTTGCCCTGCTTTGCTGTGCAGAGTTCTCAGGTCCACATAAGAGCAAGTTCCCCCACCACCCTGCTTTTGTTTTTGGCCAGTCGTTGAAAGTGACCGCTAAAACAACTTTTTATCATTGGAACACTCCAGGTTTGCGTGTTCTTGGCTCCTGGCCTTGTTTGTAAGAATTGGAGCTTAACAAATATGTTTGTGCTACCCTCTAGTGGCAGTTTCATATAAATCACAGAAGTTTACTTGAGATAAATTAAGTTTTACAGAACACTAACTGGACAAGAATTTTTTAATTAATGAAGTCTATATACAAAGAATTTAATTTTATCTTTGAGATGCACTTACCTAAAACATATACACTATGACAAATTTCTTTTTATTGAACCTATACAATTCTAGCGATGGCAAGGGCGATTTGGGGTCGTATGAGCAATTGAGAGGAAGTGCTGTATACTTGGGTAGCTGGTACAAATGTTACAGTTATAAGAGTAAGGCTCAAGACTCACAATTAAATTTCTGACTCTGGGCCCCGTTTCACTGACACATTACTCTGATATTTAATTAAGTCAATTCCAAATGTCAGATTTCTAGGTTTTGGTCATCAAAATCCAAAGATGACTACCATACCTTTAAACCAAATAGTGTTCCAGAAGTTTGTTACATCAATACATTGGTTGATGTAGAGTATTTTTTCAGTAGCACAGTGATTCAACGTCTTCACATGAAGTAAAAAAATTACTAAATAAGAGAATGAGAATGACAAAAGGAACAAAACTAGAACTTCTCATGACAAAATTGTAGTTGTTTATTAGTAATTTTAAATGGAGATCAAAATAACAATAGTTTGGGGTTTTTTGTTCCCATTAGGCATTGTGTACGCTCTGTTATTAAGAGAGGGACACCCCCAGGCTCTGGTTTGCCCTCTCTTTCTGAAACTGATGAAACTTTAACCGTTAGCCAGACAGACGTGAGTCAAGTATCAAGAGCTGCATCTCAGGTAACTACGTTACTTTTACTATTGGCCCACCTCTTAAACATAGATTTGTTTCTTAAATTGTGAAATAACTTTAATGCAGTTAATATTTTGTTTTATTTTACTTTAAATGCTAAAGTTGTGAAAGTCAGAATTGGGCTATAGTATGTGTTACTTAATCATTCGCATACTTTTTTATTCCTTATGGCATATTTCAGCCATAAATCTGTAACTTAAGTTCTGCTTAAATGTTATCCTGAATTATTCCAAAGCAAACTGGCTTCAAGAGAGCTGAACAGTTGAATGTGAATAGCTAAGCTATATGTCATCTGCAAATATGCATATAATTGGCAAAATTAGAAGAGTATATAGAGCTGTTTAATACTGAAGTCTGAATGGCAGATAGGAAATACAACCCAAAAGAAACACACAAGGGACCTCTATAGTAGGTGAATATTCCATTTTCTAACCTAGGTAATATTTATTTTAATATTAATAGTATTCTTTATACTGCTCAGATTCATATTATATATTCTTTTAGCCCTGCCTGCTTTCCACAGTATCTATGAATTCTGATATAGAGGCTTCTCATTTAATATCTCCACCTGATGCAATTTCCAGTGTCATGTTTAGGCAGAAAAAGACTAGATGTTAAACCAGAAGAGCCTCGGGAGAATAAGTGGAGTTTTCAGCCTGTATCTCATTCTCTCCTCAAATACCTGATGACTGTTTTTGGGGTCATGAGGCATGGAAAGGCTTTGCTTCACACTTGATGTTCACTCATCTTTACTCTGTCTCCTCCATCCAGTGGACATCATCCAAAAGATTGTTCACATGACCCATAATCAGTCTCTATGAGTTTATACCATTTTATTTTTTATCTCTATTTTAATTGTGTTCTAGAGAAAACAGAGTTGTACACATAAACTCAACTTAATTTTTCTGTAAAAATTTTCAGTAATCATTTTCGTAATTGAGAACAGCCTTTTTAGGTTCTGTACATTATTTGACAATCATAATCTCATTGATTTCTCTGTATTAATGACATGCACTTCATACAAAGTAATATATCTACTTGGGGATATTACTGATTTAATTTAACTTTTAGAATTCAACCATTTAGTAAATTAATACATTACATATTTTAAGATAACAAACTTAAACCCTGAGCCAATTGTATAATTAAAATCTTCTGAATTTTGAGATTAAAACTAAGTTCTATTTTACTCGATTTTTACTAAGTTTTCCCAGAAATATATTTCTTCAATGTTTAAAAAACTGTCTTAACTCTTTTAAGAACCTTGGTGCTTTAGATGGCTGTAATGTTTTACTGAATTCAAAATGGTTTTTTAATGTGTTTCTTTCAATTCCTAGGGAAATATTTCCGCACAAGCTATAGTTGGAAAAGGTAAATTTATAATCTCATGACTTCTTTTCTATGGACTTGAAAGCACTGAGGAGTCTCTGCTTCTTGATAGCCCTTAGCTGTCCATTCTGGCACTCAGCAGCCTCGTTAGTGTCTGCCCTGACTTGTTGAGTCTAATCTGCTCTGGGCTAGAAAACTGAGATAATTTCACTTGTTAAATTCAAGCTAAACATAAAAGAGGATTTGATTAAGGATCCATGAGTAAAGTTCATGTGTTTTAATGCATGCGTCTTGTGATCAAACACTGAAACCATGCTAACTCCTCAGTTCCTAAATAAAGACTTGGCCAAGACTCAATTTTTTTTTTTTAAAGGGTTGTGTGGCATGTGTATGTATAAAAGTTTAGATCCAGAAGTCTACAAGAATTTTATGACATTACTTGATACATATAAATATAAAATAAGGCTATAGAATCATCAACTGTGGGGAGTAGTTAAATGGCTTACTGAAACACATTTGTTGCAAACCTTTCAAGTTTTCATTTCCCCTTTTGTTGTCTAAGCCATCCCCTCTTATATAAATATGTCTGTCCATAGCAGATTTTAAGTATATAAGCTAGCTAATTTCTGTTGTAACTTCACAATCTTCAAAGAATGTAGGCACACATTTATCAAAGTGGTTTCAAAATTTCTGAACACTCTAATATGCATAGAAGTTATGATTAAATTTTCCTAAGTATATGAAATGTGTCTTTGCATGGGCCTCCACAGATTTGAGGCCTGCATGTAAATGAATATCTCAGTAAATATTTTACCCCAAATAGACTGATATTTAAACTCCCCTTTATAACTTTCCATATTTTAATCACTTATTATTTAACAACATAAGATGTGTTTGACATATTTGTCTTCTACTAGGCACAGATGAACAAACAGATGTTGCATTGGGCGAGGCTCACCAAATTGATGGAGTTATCACGGAAAAAGATTTTGTCATCCCAACAACAGAAACACAGGAAAAATCACAAGAAGAACTTCCACCAATAAATAATGCTGTTTCTAAAGAAATATGGTTAGATTTTGAAGACTTCTGTGTATGCTTTCAGTAAGTATCTAAAAGTAATCCATCTGACGATGTTATAGTGATTAAATTGTAAGCCTCATTATTATACAAATTCACACCAGGGTTTATTTTGTGTATTTAATGCAGTGGTTATATACCTTATTGATTCTTAGATATCATTCAAAAGAGTTAAGTCAGTATTAGCCTGGTGTTGGTGTAATATCAAATCAAAGTTTTAGAAGGGAAAAATAAATGTATTGATTAGCCACATAACACATTAATAGCCAAGCTGATCTCAGGCCAGTTTCAACTTCTCCTCAAAGACTTGTTAAGGTGAAGAAATTTATTCACTGGGATTATTTTTGTCCCTTTAGGGCAACTAACTCAATATGGTTGTCATATTTTTAAACTTTCTGCTTATAATTATTTGATTCTAAGAAACTTAACATGTAGTATTAGTCTTTGCATATAATGATAATAACCTGTTTTAAATTATCTTTTTCAGGAATATATATATTTTTCATAAGCCAAGTTCATATTGCCTTACCTTTCAAAAATCAGAATTCAAGGTAAATATATTATGATCTCTTCTATTTCCCTTCTTATACTTAAATTTTTGGTAGGACGACACTAGTGAAAAACACCTTCAAATTTCTCAAGCATTTCTAAACTTGTAACATTATATTTATATAACATTTAATTATATTTAAAAATTGACTTTTAGAGGCTCCTAGTAATCCCTTGTCCAGACTTTAAGCAAAATTACACTAGCTCATAACCCCAAATGTGATCCATATGATTATGTTGTAGTAGTTAAATCCTGAGCTGCATTATACAAATTCACAGTAAGAAAATTTTGATTCACTAATAAATGAAGGAGCTAACCATACAAATAAATTCACTAGATTTGGTTTCAATTAGTATTTACTGAATAGTGTATAGTTCTTAACGCATAAGCACATTTTCACCATCATGGCTGGATTTGGGTTTTTGTTTGCTTGTTTGTTTCCATGTTCCTCCCTCGACCTGGAGTTTCTTCCCTTTCGTCCTTATCGCCTTTGTCCAGTTAACACCTGGAAGCCCTTCGGAACAGAACAGATGTCCTTGACTGTGAGGCCTCCTTCCCTGCCCTGCAGTCTGGGTTAAGAGGCTCAACTTCATGCACTCTGGACGTTATATGCTCTTCACCTCTCACCCCCCGCCCCTGCTGCCTGGTTGCTCCTCTGAGCCCTCCCTGCCCTTGCCTAGTGTTAGCCTCTTTAGAAGGACTGTATTCTTTTCTTTACCATTGCATGACCTTTCATGGCATGAGGTAGGAGCTCAGTTTAAAAAAAAAAAAAATTGTTGAATAAGTGAATTAACAAATTATGCATTGAGTGGAATTTTGATAAAACTATGACATATATTCTGGGAAATTAAATTGTACTGAAACGTGCGTGGTTCCCTATCTCAGGACAAGGCCATCCAAGCCCCCAAGGATAACCCCTCAGCTCCATGAGCAGTCTGCAGAGGTGGGGGAAGGAAACAGTCTTTGAAATGACTTTTCCATTCATTGCACTTGTCAGAGATGAAAACTCAGGCAGAGAAAACCATTTGAGCATTCCTCAGGAGGTGCTCTGTAGGTGGGTGCCTACTGTGAGAGTGAGAAGCAGGTCTGCGTAGTGACTAGGGGGAAGAAATAGTCCACCGGGTTGTGGAGTCTATCTATGAAGACACCCAGAAGACTGTTTTGAATTTATAAAGATAACCAGATTGTTAGTTGGGAAAAGTTGAACCCAAAGTATGATATGAGAATAATGTATAGCTTACAGTTTACCTAGGCATATTTCTATATTCAAACCTTTGCCAATAATAAAATGATAATTGTTGATAGGCATTGCAGGCCTTAAACTAGGTTCTTTATTGCATTAACTCCTCATAGCAAACCCTACAAAAGAGATTTTACTGTCATCATTGGCATCTATGGACAAGGAGGCAGATCAAGTTTGCCTTGATGTATGTAAGACATTAGAAGAATGCCTGTTTGTACGTGATAATAAATGGTGACTGTTGTTTACTAAGGCAATTTGCATATGAGTTTTTGTTGTACCTAACCATCCTGATATAAATGTGTGTGTGGTAAAATGGTCAGCTGTTCTTTATTCTGATCCTAGTCTTATGAAGTCTTGGTAAATATTAGGATTTTTTTTTCTTTTAATGTCTCAGCTTGGCAAAATAGAATGATAACATCCCTATATGAATCTTTCATTCCCTTGGATTTTCTTTTCACCTTAGTGATGTGAGAAAATAACTTCTTCTTGGAGGGTGTTGGAACTCAAATTTAATGTCATATAGTATGTCTTGAAAGGAAGAATTGCCTGTAGTCTGAGGCCGGACACTACTGATGATGTTGGCCAGCCGAACTGGGGGTGGGCACGGAGCCCAAGGCCTGACCACAGCACATGCCGTAGATGTTCCATTGGTGCTCAGGGTGAGGACGGGGGGGGGGGGAGGCCCTTCATAGGGGGAATGTGTTGGCACCAGGGAAGACAGAGTCCCTGTGTGTGGCCTTAGTTCTCTCCCCGCTGCCCCCGCCCAAAACTCAGACCCTTAAAAATGGCAGCAAATGAGCTCAGTGCAAACTCTTCAGGCACGTGTGCTGGGCTGGCAAGTCCAGGGATCCTTCATATTTTCAGAGAGTGCATATTTGTATGTATGCATATGATAGCTGAAAGGAAACAAATGAAAAAGTGTCGAATGATAACTAATGAAAAATATGGGGGCAATAATTTAAAATATGGTTTCCTTTCCCCAAGCATTTCTAGCAATCTTGTTATACTTGATTAAATAACTAAATTTTCTTTTTAATAGCATTATTAGAAATTTTTTCTTTCATTTATTTACTGGTTATTTAAGTATTGTAGTAAAATAATATGAAAAGCATTCAAAATATAGTGACAATTAAATTCATTGAACATGTTTCCCATATGCCAGTAGACAAAATTATGTTGAAGCACTGAGAATTTGAGAGACAATAATAATGCAACAGTCAAGAGTCCTAGCCCTAGAGTCAGGTAGATAGATATACCTGCTTTAGGACCTCACCTTTGCTACTTACAAGCTCTGTGACCTTTGGTAGATCACTTACTAGAGTTTCAGTTTCTTCATCTATAATTAGGGATATAAATAGTACCCATACAGGATGAATCAAAATCATGTACATTTATCCCTTATGTGGCTGTCTTATGAGGGAAGTTCTGATTTTACTCAGCATTTTATTGCATTTCCCAAACAAAAATCTACAGTCTAGTGCATCAGCAAGCAATGGATTCATATATTTCTGAAGATTTTATGGGAAGAAGGACAAGAAGGTTTATATCACATATTACCCTATAAAATACCTTAATGCATCACCATTAGACATTCCCATTCTCTGCCCAAGTTACTGTGTGACCTCCCTGCCTGTCAGGAACCATTCTCTGAGCAATGCTCAGCCCTGGGCCCAGTCTCCTCCTCTCTTTCTCGTTTCTGGAACAAGCACATCCCTCTTCTTTCCTCACAGAGAAGAGCTTTGCCTCTTTGACATGGTGGCTGGTCTCAGGCACTGAAGATCCAGCTTCCGTAGACTGTTGCCACCATTCACCAGTACAATTTTCTTCATATTATTAAACCCATAAAGTACTTATTGTGGTATCTAGAATGCAGTAAGTTTCCTATAAATGTTAGGTCTTGTACTCATTAGGAGTAGAAAATAATGGACTGATACTAATGATGATGGTTGATCTAATTTCTTGCAGTTCTCAGAAGAACGGGTGTCCTACCACCTGTTTGTGGATAGTCTAAAGCCTATTGAACTGCTGGTTTCCTTTTCTGCACTGGTACGCTGGGGAGAATATGGAGGTAAGAAAGCTCTGAGAAAATGACAGTCTTAAAGCCCTGATCACATTCAGGTCAGGGAATATGCAACGATGATGAGACCTTTATGCCATGGATACAGGAACTTCTTCCCTTTCCAGAGTTTCTCAAGAGTCCCACAGGACCTCCTGTACTCCTCTTCCAGTGCTTTTAGTCCCCAGACATCAGGGATCACGCTCACTCTTGCCACTTGCACCTCTCCTGGTTGCACTCATCCGCTCACCTGTTAGGCATACCTAGTTGTTCTGTTCTTCTTTTCCCCCTCACCTACATGTCACCATTCTTGATTGTTTCAAAATCTACTGAAAAACATGAACTTTCTTTGGTTTGACAATCTTTTCCTCCACCCCGCCTTGCCCCCTACTTTCATGGTGACACTATAGACCTTATCTTTACCAATCAGTGCATCGTCTTAATCATTTCAGTTTCAAGCACTGCACTCTCTGATTGCCGCTCCCTCACTCTTTCTTTAACTCTCTAGAACTCCCACTCCCATAATTCTTGACTCCACTGGGACCTCCATCTCTCTACTGTTTTCCTCTATCCATCTCTCTTCTCATGTTCTTTTTTCTCCCATTCCCAGCATAGATTCTATGGTCCCTCACTGTAATTATATCTGTGCATATACCCTCAAAATACTTGCCCTTCTTATCCTCTCATCTTACTTTCCAGGCAAAATCCCAATATTGGTTAAACTCAACTCTGCACCTAAACTGTGGTTGCAAAAGAGCAGCCAAATGTGATTGAAAGAAAAAAAGTACTGCCTATCCCTGCTTAAAATTTAGAAGCACAAATCTCAGCAAAGCCCTAAGCTCTGCCAGTGGTTCTCTAGTTCATTCATTCCCCCAATTCTCATTCCTATGGATGACTGTTGCAATCCTTCAAGTCTTCTCTCTGCTTCTCTTCAAATATTCAACACCCACTCTTACTCTCACTAATTTTCAGCTAATGTCCTTACTGCCGATTTCCCTGAAAAGACAGGAGAAATCAGAAATAACCTACCTCGTCTTCCCAGAGTGAAGTTTCTCAAGCTCTCGTCTGCCTTCCTGCCTATTCTAAACTGTGAACTGTCCCTGATCCCCTGCACACACATGCACACACACACAAAACATCATTCTGTAATTCCCTGACCTGTTTTGTTAAAGCGTTTATCTTCAGTTCAAATTAACAGTACCTGGTACTGTAGGTATACAATAAATATTTGCTGAAAGCTTAATATTGAACGTTTTGTCAACATTGAAGACAGGGAGTTTTATTTTTTACTTAAGTATCCTTAGTATTTTGAATGATGTCTAGCATATATTATATGCTAAAAAAATACTTGTTGTATAATAAACTTTCATAAGTTTAGCAATCTAAGTTTAGTCTACCAAACCAACAGCATTGAAGCCACACCATGCCCTGGAACATTTCAGTTCCATATACATGAGAGCAATTTTTAGGCCATGTTGTGACCTTCTATCCTCAGCTTCAGGATTTTCTGGAAATAGGAAAAGAAGTATTTTACCCTCAGTTTATTGATGAAGTATAGTCCATATTATTTGCCTATTTTGGAATAAAAACTTGATATCAAAATGAAATTCTATTAATTACTTGTTATTTTCTACATAACTGCAAATTTATTAAAAAATTATATAAATAGTGGGATATTTTGACTTGCTTTGACAGTATCTTAGAAAAATCTCTTTTTTTCCCCACATGTGATATGTTTCCTTCCTTTAAAATTGCATTTAGATGTATTTGTAATTACTGCTATAGAGATAACATTAATAAAAGTGATGGTATACTATAATGAAATATAAAAGTTTCCTAATTTTCCCATTCCTAGTTTCTTCACCTAAGGGGATGATTATTAGGAGGGACATAGGACAAAGAGGAAGATCCAGATTCCACTTGAGTAATATTTTAAAAAATTATTTGCCTGGAGTAATGTTTAATGTTTTATGAATGAACATTTTTAGAATATCTCTAATTCTTCATTATTATTATTATTGTTTATGTTGTTGCTGGATAAAAATCAATCCAAGTGAAGGCCAGCTATACTTACACAATCAAATTTCAATATTTTTTCACTTATCTTAAAGCCTTAACAAAAGATAGCCCTCCCATTGAGCCTGGACTTCTAACAGTTGAAACAATTTCTTGGAAATCTCTGAAGCCACGCAGTCTTGTTCTGAAGATTCATACGTATGCTACCAAGGCTACAATGGTTCGCCTGCCTGTTGGGTATGGACTTCATTTTTCCCATACTAAGAATTTTCTGAAGCCCTGCAAACTGTTGATTACTAAAGAAGTAAACAACACGAATTCCAGGATATTGTTTCCTGAAGTGATTTCACAAGGCACAAGTCTATCATGATTCTTGAGAAAAATAATTTCATAAAGAAAAAAATTGAGAAATGCTGTACACTAAATCCTCTAGAGGATTCATAATGTCAAAGATTCTGGGAACTTCTTTAGTAAACAATAGTGTTTAAATTTGTGTAACTTAGCAATTTCTAAAATTAATTTATTAAAGATATTCTTTTGTTTTCTCATGAATCTTATTATATTCTGTACCAAGAAGCTTGATTTTATTTAAACAAAGATGGATAAACATGGAGTTTTCCCCTGCCAGTCTATAGTTTTTCCTTTAGTTTATTTTTGTTAGATATTATTTTTAATTAAGATAAAGCTGACTAAACACATCCCAGTTTCCATTTTAAAGAAAATATGTATAATGAAAAAGTTTTCTTGATTTTGATGAATAAAATTTAAAATATTACTTTATGTTTCAGACAAAATAGATATTTTTACCAGGTGTTTTTTTCCAGGATCAATCGTGCTAAATCTATGTGATCAATGAAAAACTAGGGCTCTTGTGCAAAAAGCAAAGCATAAGCAACAAAATCAAATGCTAATTAGTGTATGGCAAACATCCTGTATTTCTAGAAAATAATAAATTTTACATTTTTCACATCTGCCCTAAACACTCTGGCATGGAGAGATTCTCCGAGAAATCAAGCTACTCTGTTGAGTGCTTATCCATTGAGATGACCAAACATAGATAATTAATGAAGAATCTTCTTCTAATCACATTTTTCCCTAGGACCTAACCCATCCACTTGGATGTTTTAAACATGCTCCAAGTGCTTTGTAACTAAGGGAATACAAATGTCCCTGTTCTCAGTGATCCTGCTTCCCAGACACAATGAAATGTGCGTTTGTGAGGTAAAGGCTATGAAATCTAACAAAGCCCTACGCCCACATGAGTTTTTTGTTGTTGTTGTTAGGGAGAAATCAAGACCAACCTGTCACGAGGTGACTGCCACGTGTGGGAGATACCTCCACCATGTGCTGGAGAGCAGTTTGGCCTTTAGTCCACTTTTGTCCTACATAGTTAGTAAAATAGAAATTTCATAATCTTGTAGGGTTCTTTTGGAGCAAAAATTCAAAGGTGTTTATCCCATCTGTTAAAAAAAATTCAACTCTTCACTAACCTGTGACTTAGTTTGAATTCCAAACTGTCATCAGGCAACTAACAGAGGTAAAGGCCGCTGCACAGGAAGCACTTGGCGGGTCCTCACCAGTGTCCCTTCTCCACAGGAGGCACATGCTGCTCTTCACCGCTCACTCCCCCGTGGGGCATTCCATACAAATCTGCGGCATGGTGAACTTCGCCATGGGGGATGAAGATATCGTGCTGCCCAACTTTGAGCCGGTAAATATTTTAGCAACTGCAATTCTGGTGTGCTCTATTTTCAAAGATTGTGTACTAAATACTATTTTTATTTTTATTCAACTTGCTCATGATTTTTTACCTTTTAAAACTGTTCAGTATATTCTGCAAGAAATCCCCAACTGCAACATGTATAATGAACAGTCTATAATGAACAGTCTATCTCCTGTAGAAATATAAATAAAACAGTTTTTTTTTTCTCCAATAACTTGTTCTCACCTCTACTCTGTTGGATCCCCTTTGACATCTGTTAACATCATTGGTCCTTTGGGGTATAAAGGATGAGTACAGTCCTTTCTCATACAGTTTAAATTTTGATCTCTTTTATTCATTCGTTCCTTGGCCTGAGGAATTTGGAGTATATGTCTCTGGGATTTGAGGAGTAAGGGGCTGCCCATGGAAGCTTCTGTCATTTCTCCTTCATTTCCTCTCTCTCTTTCTGGTCTCTGTGGTTTCTCTTGCTCCTCTGCTCTGACCCGTCTGGAAGAAGACGTGAGGTAAATGGGGCCAGCATCTCCTCTGAAGTCTACTCTTGGTTTTGGATGTCCTTTCTCTGAGCATGTGCATTTGGGAGAAGATTCCTACGTGGCCTTACCACTGCATAATTCCTGACAGTTCTTCAGCTCCAACACCTCCCACCAAAAACAAATGAACAAACATGAAACCAACTCCAAGTGGTACAACCTTGTTTTAGTGAGATTCTCCAAGCCAGATAGCAAATCTTGCAGCAGGAAGATGGCTCAAGACCAGCTCCCTTACGCTGCAGTTTCGTGGCCCAGATATGCCCTGCTTGCACATTCTTGCCTGTGTAGGCAGTGGCTACAAGATTCCCCAAGGCTGCTCCTCTCCTTGCTGTGCCATCTCTCACCAGGTCTCTTTCCTCCTAGTTAGTAGGCACAGGAGGAAAATCAACCAGTTGACATTATAAGCATATGTCCCTTATTTACTTAAATATGTTTATCCTGCTTATTTCAAATTCTCATCTTTTTAAAACATAGTTCTGCTGTACCTGGTATGCATCATCCAGTGTGTTGCCTTCCTTTAGGTGGTTTAACTCCCCACACGCTCACTTGTTTTGGTCTGTAAGCTCCTATTTCCCTGGAGATATCACTCCTCTAAATTGTAAAGCTTACTGGGGCTCCAGCCCAAGCTCCGCTGCTCTTTGATGCTAATAGAGAAGCAAAAGGGGAAAGACTGGCCCAGGAGCAGAATTGACCCATCCCAGTGCTGCCTCTGACCAGAGACCTTTTCTGGTCATGGTTCCACTCTAGGGAGAAAAACCCTTGCGATGAGACTTTCCCTAGGCTTTGTGGGGATTTGGAGGAGGTAATGGAGAAGAGATGTGTTCTAGTGGCCAGTCAGTTGCATCTGTCTCCATCAGTGTCTGCACTGTCCAGACACACTTGCTGGGCCATTCCTCAGAATTTCTGCACCGTGGTGCCCTCTGGGGAAAAAGGCTTTCCTCCAATTTTCACCCTCTTCATGTGGCCTCCAAGACCGGCTGCTCCAGGCAACCCCACCACTATCCACCTCACACCAACTGATAGTCTTCAATCACCTCAGGCTTTCCTCAGATTTTTAAAATATTAGTTGACCCTGCCCCCCCTCTTCTTGCTTTTATTGTTTCATCAGAGTTGACAGGAGGAGGCAGCCATGCGCTACAATCACTCTCTTGTCTTTATGATCTTTCGGGCTCCCACCCTGAAATCTCTTCTCTTATCCATCCTCAAACCCCACACAGTTTTTGTCAGGCTAATCCTAGACATCCCTCAGAACTAGGTCTGGATAGTAATACTCTGGAGAAGTTTTCCCTCAGCCCCATTATGAGGTGGTTGTTTCTGCTATGTGTTCCCACCCAGGTGGGAGTTGCATTCCTTGTTTTCTACCTCCGAGACCACAGCACCTAGTAAAATGCCTTGATATGTAAATTCTCTAAACATAATTATTGAATCAGCCATGTAGAAAACATTTGATATTTTAACCTAAAATATTATAAACTTAATGACATCTAAATAAATGCAAGTGAGGATGGCTGCTATGTTCTGTCTTCGCAGGAGAGCTACCGCTTTACAGAGCAGTCTCTGTTGATTTTGAAAGCTGTTGGAAATGTGATTGCTAATTTCAAAGATAAGGGTAAACTGGCTGCAGCCCTGAAGGATCTGCAAACGGCTCACTACCCTATCCCCCTCCACAATAAAGAACTAACTGCACAGCACTTCAGGGTAAGCTTGTTCTGGGTATGACGTTCACAGGAGGAAATTTGCTGTTGACACGATGTACCTTCTACTAGGTGATCTCCCAAATCAGAGCCTGAGAAAATAATCTGGATGGAGACAATTTATATGGGAAGTGATTTCAGAAAGCGGAAATGAGGGAGTGTGAGAGTGAAATGAGAAAGAGAAAGAAATCTGTGAGAGGATGTGATCATTACTGGGGAGGGCTCCTGGGGCGTGGTGAGCTGGGGTCCTGATGAACTATGTAAAACGCCCCTGAGAGGCTCCAGCTAAAGGCTAGCAAGAGAGTGGCACTTGTCCCACAATGCTTTTGCCCAAGGGTGGATGGTTGCCCTCGGGGGCTTTAACTCCCTCACACTGATAACTTGGGCTTCTGTTGTGGTTGGAGAGCTTTCTGGCTTCACACCGCTTTGAGGGCTAAAGCAAAGAGGCTTCCTGGTAGCTCCCTAAGGAGGGAGATCAGGCATGTATGGACCTGTCTCCAACAGCTGCACTGAAACTAGGTGGCCACATGTCTGGCTTTTTTTTTTTTTTTAACCCTCACACTATGGACATTTGGGGTCAGATAGTTCTTGTTATGGGGCTGCACTGTGCCCTGCAGAATGTTTAATGGCGCCTCTGGTCTCCACCCTTTAGACAACTGAAAATGACTTCAGATGTTGCCAGATGTCCCATGGAGGGGGGTTGCATTGCCAGATTTAGCAAATAAAAATACAAGACACCCAGTTAAATTTTAATTTCATGAAAACAAACAGTATGTGTAATATTTAGGGGACATATATATACTAAAAAGTTACTTATACTAAAAATTCATTTTATCTGTTATTCAAATTTGACTGGATGTTGGGGGTTGTTGGAGAAATATAATTAAAAACAAAATCTCCTCCCAACATAGAAAAGCCCTTCACAAAGACAGAAAAGGAAAACCATTTTAGTATTGAGTGAGCCAGAAGGTAATGTGTATAACAAGCAATCCACTAAGAGATTGTAAAGACAGAAAAAAATCTCACCCTTTTATATAGCAAGCAGATATAGCCCATTTCATACAGGCTGTCAAGATAAACAATAAGTAGTCCTCAAGTGAAAGGACTCAATAATACCATTTGCCACACATAGTTCTTTCTGAATTCACTTGGTGTTAGGGGTGACCATCTGGTTAGGTAATCAGCTTTATACAAGAGGAGAAAAAATACTTCTAACACCTTTTGAAAAGATTTAGTTTTGCAACTTAGAGCAAGGCGCCCACTAACATTAGGCTCCTACTCTCCAAGAAACTGGGAGAAAGGGATCCTATCTACCTTGATTAACATTTCAAAAAGATGCTTCTTAAATCCTTGAGAAAAATCTACCTGGCTAGAGGCTTACTGAGTTCTTAAAAAGATTTAGGTACAATTCAAAGAGAGAGAGAAAGAACTTACAAATTACAGATTTTCTAAGACAAAGGGTGTGAGGCGAAAAATATCTTCCCTTATTTTCTATAGGAAGGATTAAGTTTCTTATTTTTAATTTGTATCTACCCTTACAGTGTTATGTACTTTATAACGCAACCCTGAGGGGCAAATCAACTCCCATTTGAGAACCGCATACCTTGAGGGCATGAGTAATACATAAGAAATATTTGTCTTAATCTGACCCCGCCCTTAAGTAAACTCTGACATCCATTCTTCAAGTTGGTAGCTGAGGTCTGAGGGACAGTGAACTGGCCCCCTGTTTAAAAAGTTTGAGGACCCCTGGGTTAGATGATTGAGCCTGGATGAGAGAGAGCCCAAGCCACTGGGCCCATGTGTAATCACCATTTCTGCTTCTGGATTCCTCTGGGCATTGGCCTTTTGCGGCTAGCCTTAATTTAATATGTAAGGGGTCTTTGTGTGTGCATCAGTTTTGCAAAAGGGAGCTATTTTGTTAATAAAACATCTTCATTTTATACTTTGATAATTGCACAGCTATGTGACATATGGTCAAAAAAGCTTTGTCTAAATAAATCTAAAAGAGCTTTTTCAGTATGAAGTAAGTACTAAGTGATAAGAAAGTGATAAAAATTCTAAGCAACATATTTTCATTTTTTGTAACACATGAAATAAGTGTGTCTTACCATGGATGCCATCTTAAAAATCAATGAAATATGGTATTAACTTGCTTAAGCACAAGGATCATATTTTATCTTACTCTGTATCTCCTCAGCCAGTTTAATGCTATATTTTCATTGAGTGTATATTATAAACATCATTATAGTGACTGAATTTTATTAAATTAGAAATAGTCAAATAATACTTTTGGTCTTTTCCTGGGTAAGTGAGACTTCAAAGAGTCTTCTGTTATATTGTGTATATATCTGCAAAATGTTTTTATTATTATTATTATTTTTAGAGTATCTAAAGATATTTAGAGCTTCTCTGACTAGGTGATAGTATCTTCTTGGTTTAAAAGATATATAAATTTATTTTATGTATTTCAGGTTTTTCATATTTGTTTATGGCGCTTAATGAAAAAAGTTCAATCAACAAAACCTTTTCCAAACTTCAAATTTGCATTCCGTGCTATGGTTTTGGACGTGGAGTTACTTGATTCCGCCTTGGAGGAGGGTTCTTTAAGTACTGATTAATTTTAAATATCTAGTAAAAAAATTCCTAGCCTTATATAAGATAAATAATTTGAGAGAAGTGCACTGGAAGTGTTTGTGGTGTAGGTAGAACAGGGCTGCATGGGCAGTCGTGGAGTTCTAGCTATGCTCTGAGAAGCTCCAGAGGTTACAAGGGTCTGAGAAGAATCCCCTACTCCCAATTTTTGCCATCCATACTTCCAGGGGGGCCCCAAATTTCCCTGTTTTATGTGTTCCTAACCTTAAAACATGTGAAAGTCACTAATCTATATGATATGATTTGAGGAATTCTGGGAAGATCCTACAACCCAAGTAACTACTTGCCTCTCCTTCTCATGCTCTGTTCTCACCATTTTAACATTTTCTTTCACTTTTTAAAGAAACCTCTGGCTATTGTGAGAGAGGAATCAACAGTAGTAATTCACTAAGGTGTCGCTATTTTGTGTGTCTCCCTTCTCCTGAATGTTTACATTCAAAAAAAGGACCACCGACAATGGGCAAGGTTAAATATGATGATAAATCTCCCATTGTGGTATTTCATATATCAGAGGGCTTTAGTAGTTAAAGGCACTGAAACTTGGGGAAGGAATTAAATATAACTTTCAACTCAAAGCTTTTTTCTCTTTCCAGTGGAATGGGTAGACGTTAAATATTGTATGCCAACAAGTGACAAAGAATACTCTCCTGAGGAGGTAGCAGCAGCAATTAAAATTCAAGCCATGTGGAGAGGAACTTACATTAGATTACTTATGAAAGCCAGACTACCAGGTATAATTTTTCAAACATTTATAAATGAATTTGTATATGTAAGAATGAATATTTGTTTATGTATGTTAATGAAAACTATTTTAGAGTCACCCTACTTTATGGCCCAGCTAATTAATTTTTATCCTACAAATATTGAAATTGCTTGAGATCAAGAAACATGTCAACTCACCCACTCTCTTGTCCCCAGAATTTAGCACAGTGTCTGGCACATAATAAGTACACAATAAGGACTTGCTGAAAGAGTAGTGAATGGATAAATGAATGAGTGAATGATCCCAGTCTATTGTGAGTTCTTTTAAACAGGGAACTAGTGTTTTTCTGTAAACAATCCCAGTGCCCAGCACTGTGTTTCATTAATCAGCTTCAACTAAATCATAGGTATTTTTATATTTCTAGATCATTTTTCAAAGAAATTGGTGAATAAATGAATGAATTAATGAATGATAATAAATGATATACATTTAGGAGGCATAAAATGCATTTCAAGTGTATTGTTAGATTTATTAAATCAAATACACATATGCACATGAAATAAAATATTTTTGAGAAAAAGTCTATGTCTATTTCATCAGCTTAAAATAAAACATAGCAGATGCAAAATTATATTCAATCATTTTCATTCTGTGATTTTTGTTGACATTTTGATAGGAAAAATCTGACCTCCGATAGAATTCTTCCCATATATTGAAACATTTCCTTGTAAAAATGTGTCTATTTGAAACATTTAACGACAGTAGTCAAAATGTTTATCTTAGTAGTACAAACTTCAGATATACAAAAGTAAAAAGTAAAAGCTATATTGCATAGTTCAGTGATAGTAAAATTTTAGAGTTGCCTGATTTTTATGCTTTTTTTTCTGTTAGAAAAGAATACATGCAATTATCAAACTAAATGTATGATGCCTTAATTCATTTTGTGCACCTATTATGGAATACCACAGACTGGGTAACTTATAAAGAACTGAGATTTGTTTCTCACAGTTCTGGAGGCTGGAAAGTACAAGGTCAAGGCGAGGGGATTCTTGCTGCTTCATTCTGTGGTGGAAGGTGGAAGAGCAAGAGAGCATGTACATGAGTGCAGGAGGGAGAGACAAAGAGAGACAGAGAGAGAGAGAGAGGTGGGAGGAAGTGGACCAGAACTCATCCTTTCATTGGGAACCCACTTCCTCCATAACTAACCCACTCCCTAATGATCTCCAAGGTCCCATCTCTCGACACTGAAGCACTGGAGATTAAGTTTCCAACATGTAAAACTGTCAACATAAGTGGTTGCCATGGTTTCACATTCAAGCCATAGCAGATGGTAAAATATGCTTTTTGGTGTGCATATATGCTGTGAAAATTATATTTATGCAATGGTTTATTTCCTTTTTTAGAGACTGAAAAACTTGAGCAATTTAATAATATACTTAATGTTTGCATTTCTTTCATTCAATACATATTTCATATTTATTGAATAACTCATATGTGTACAGCAATGTTATAGATTCTGGCCTTATGGAAATCAATAAAACAAACAAAGTTTCTGCTCTGGTGAATCTTATATTCTAGTGGTGGTAAGCACACAATCGATAAGAAAGTGTATTAAGATATCAGTTTTAGATACTGGTAAGCACATGAAGAAATTAAGATAGAATAATTAGAAAGAGAATGTCAATTTCTGATATGGTATATTTCAGGCACTTAATATGGATTCCCATTTTCTTGTTAAAGCAACTACTTTTAAGCCATCTGCAGATAATGAAATAGATTGAGCTCTAATGAGATTCTATTAGCCATTGTTCTTTAGAAAACTTGGATGGATTACTTTTTCTGAGAAAAGACCTTTCATAAAAAATTTTTGGTGTAACAGGGATCTCCATATGTAAGTTCTTTGATGACTATCTTAATTAGATCAAAGAACATTTTATGAATTTTAAACTAAAGAAGAAGGGAAATAGCATAATATGGCGATCAGAGCCCTGACTAGATGTTTATAGCTTTATATTTTAAAAATGATTTTTCTGCTAATAAAGCTCATGACTTTGGATACCATCTTATTTGTGAATTTCAACTTCATTTGTAAAAATGAAGGCTGTGGACAAGATATTTTAGGGATCGTATAGCTTTAATATTGTTGCTTTTATTATTATTTTTAGACACAAAGGAAAATACCAGTGTTGCTGAAACTCTTCAAAAAGTTTGGGCTATATTGGAACCGAATTTAGAACAGTATTCACTTTCACTCTTAAGGTAATGCAGTAAAATGATATTTCGTATTGCAGTAAATTGATGTCCTTCAAAGTCCAGTTTGAATACTAACATATTTACTGAGTTTTCCCCAATCACTGAAGCTAAAAACACACCATTGCCTTTGAACTTTCACGATATTTTATCTGAAACATCTCTATGGTACTTGCTACTTTTTGTTTATGCTTCAGTTGCACATATCTAAAATTCTAAGCACACATCTAAAAAACTCTGAAAAGTGGAACAGTTTCCCAATCTTATAGTACTGAGAAGACAAAAATTAGAGTTTAGGGCCTTGTAGAAGAAGGGATCCCAGTAAACAATTACAGTAGTCAGGTGAAATCCCTGGGGGATAACAGTGTGTAAACAGGGGCAAATCAGCAGTAGGTTGAGCCTTAGAAAAGCTGCATTCTAGCCATAATTCATGTCCAAGAGACAGTATAATCTGAGCAAAACTAAGAGAAAATTACATATATATGTAAACTATTGAAATACATAATTTTGAAAGAAGTAGGCCTTCTGGTGATCCAGATGTTGTTGGAGGTGGCAGAAGAAAACCTATAAAAAAATTCTATGATGAAAATGCCCAAGAAAATAAAATGTAAAGGAAGAGAAAATAGATTAAAAGTTTGAGAATTTAATTAATTAAACAGCCAAATGAAAATTGCATAAATTAACATTTTTATAACTGAAATTAAGAACTAATTCATGGGTTTAATAACAGATTAGGCAGGATAGAAGAAGAGATTAGTGAACTGGGAAATAGGTCAATAAAAAGTATCCCACCTGAAGCATAAGAGAAAATGAGTAGAAAATAAGGAAATAGCATGAAGGACACATGGAACATGCTCAGAAAGTCAATATATATATATAGATATATATATATATGATATATATATATATACTTAGCATCCCAGAATGTAGAATATATATGTAGAATATATGATATATATCAATATATATAAATATATATATGATATATATATATATATACTTAGCATCCCAGAATGTAGAAGATAACAGCTGAGAACCTTCCAAAACTTTTCCAAAAAGCATCAATTCATATTATCATAATTTCAAGAGACTCTGCAAACCCATGCAGGAAAGATTAAAAAAAAAACAAAAAAAAAACCACTTCCACCAACAATAAAAAAACAACATAACACCTTGACTCATGGGAGTCAAACTGCTGCTGCAAATCAAAGACCAGAAGAAAGCCTTAAAAGCAGCCAGAGAAAAAAGAAATACTATCTTCAAAGGACAATCACACTAATTAGCTATATGTAGGAGTAACTTCATGACAGTAGTAATGCAAAATTCAGGCACTGGGTAAAAGGTTTTAAAAAGTTCTAAAGTTCTGGCAACATTACAAATAAAAGTAATAATTAAATTACTACCGTTTAAAGTAATCATTTAGATGAGACTCTGGTAGAACAGGGTTGCATGATACATTTTCTAGTGTTATGTAGTATGGCTTATCTAGTGAATTTAAGAATAAATAAGATTAATCATATACATTTTTCAGAGAACAGAAAAAGAAGAAACATTTTCCAACTCATAACCTTGATATGAAAATTCAAGGACTATATGAAAAATGAAACTGCAAACAAATCACCCTCTTGAACATAGATGCAAAAATTATGTAATAAAATATTAGCAAATCAAAATTGGATTTATCTAAAAAGGGTAGTACCTCATAATTAAGTGGGTCTCCCCATCCCCAGACATGCAATGGTGGTTTAATATTAGAAAATTACTCACTTTAATTTAGTACATAATAAAAAGGGACAAAAGATTTAGTCATATAGATGGGTTCAGAAAAAACATTTGATATACTTTAAAACACCTTCAAAATTAAAAAAAATATCTCTGGGCAAACACAAATTAAAGATAATCCTCCTTAATATATGAAGGAATCTAGTATAAAAACAAAAACAAAAACTAATGCAAACACAAGTAGTAGTGAAATTTTTGAAAGCTTTTTTCTGAGTTTGGGAATGAGACAAAGATGCCTGTCCAACCACTTCTATTCAAGACAATCGTGAAATTCCAAGAAGGGCAAAAATACAATAAAGTGAAATAATTTAAAAGGATAAAATAATACTTTCACTGTTAACAGATGATATGATTGTGTGTGTAGAAAATACTAAAAAATCTACATGAAAACTGTTCGAATTAAGACAAGGTGTTACCCTTCAAGGCTAACATAAAATAATTGAATTTCTATTTCTAATCAAGAGATAAGTAGAAAATTATATATAAAATATTTAAAAATTTAAAATAGCCTAAAATTAATGAAAAAAATGATGAACCAAATATCAAAATTTTAACTAAAGACAAAATCCAATTCTACACTTGCCCAACCCCGAGCGAATGCCTCACTCACCTCACCCTACTCCTGGCCCACAGATGCTGTTACTGCCTGATAACTCCAACTTGATTAACTTTTGCTCCAGAACACCTGTTTTCTAAAAGAAGTACACTTTTGCCCAAAATTATAATTGTATGGATGTACACAGAGAGCACAAGATTGTGATGGCGCTCTATTTATTAGGATTTCTTGAGGTATATGAAAAAGTGTAGAATGTATGAGGGGAACAGTGACAATCTGGGAAGACCTTGAATCCCACCCTTATGTTAAAATGGTGGCAGGTCCCACTACATACAATTTCCTCTATGACCTGCTCAATTCTTGTGTTGGCACAGCCATGTGTAAGATGTGTAGATTGGGCCAGTTCCAATACAGTGATTCTCTGCACTAACAGACACATAGTTCCTAGCTAGGGTGACCATGTATTGATCATCCAAACTGGGCCACTTTGACAAGGAAAGATTGAGAACTATTCATAGCTATACCAGGACTATAAACCACTACTATCCTGGGCAAACTGGAATATACGGTCACCCTATTCTTTATTCTTGTCATCATTTTCAAAGGCCTTTTAGATCCCCTCCAAGTATTACCTTGTTAATTTCCTCTTACTAACAAACACCAGTGATCAAATGCAGCATGTGAATTCTATTCTCCATAAGGACCACCATGGCTTGGCTTCTCACTGACAATCAGTGAAGCCATCTGCCTTCTGGAAGACAAGAACACCTCCAGCTCTGTCTAGACCTCCAGCAGAGAACTGTTCTCTATGGCTATAATGGCTTCCATCCCAGCTAATGCCTTCATTGTATAAAGGACCCAATATACCTGGTGTTACTAAGACTAGATCCAGATTCTGGCAGAATGGGAGTGATAAGACCTGAAAAATTCATCACGCCATCACTTCCATCATGTTCTGGAATGTGCCCCAGCCTTCCAGGGAGCAAACATGGAGAAATCTCAGCCCATAATTATTTTAACCATAGCATGCTGTACTCTCTCATGCACCAGAAATCTTGCAGAAGGAAAATTGTAGCCCTCTCCCCTTGTTCATGCCCTCAGTTTTGTTAAATCTATTTTTGCAAACCTTTTCCTAACTTTAAACTCCATTTTTGTCTCTACTCTATACCTTAGTTCCAGACCATTCAGTGACTCTCACCCAGTTTTATTGCTGGTTTGCCTGCTTCTAGTTTTCTTATCTTTATAGCTTGAACTTTGGTTCTGATTTCCCACCTATAAACCTTGATAACTCCCTTGATCATGAATTACATTCTCCTTTGTCTAAGAGCTCAGGGAACCTTGAGTACCTTTGAGAGACATCTGCTATGGTGGACCCAGGTGGGGTTCCCCTACTTTGGCACCATGCACCATGGTCCACACAATCCTTCCCCCCTACCCCCCCCCACTTTGATCAAGAACTCAATCCAGCAAACAATGTCCTGTAATACTTTATACTATCTTTGCCTATTTGTTTTTTTGTAAATAGAGTTTATTTTTAAAGTGGCTTTTGCCATTGATACTTAATATATTTTGACATTTCTAGACTAATGTTTAAAAGCAAGTGCAAGTCTATGGAATCTTATCCATGCTATCAAGATGAAGAAACTAAGATTGCTTTTGCTGACTATACTGTGACCTATCAAGATCAGCCACCAAATACTTGGTTTATTGTATTCAGGTATAGTCTATATAATGGCAATATTCATATCTGTAGAGTTTTATTTAGGATAATAATAAAAGTCTTGACTTGTAGGTTGCATTCATGACTTAGTTAAAATTCTTCCAAAGTTGCTATCCTTGAATGAGATGTTATAGAAATTTTTATTTATGTTTATTTCATCAAACTATTGAGAATGTCAATTATTAGAACTTTTATGTAAATGATAAAAATAATATAACACATTAATATGCTTTTAGTAGAGAAAGATATTCTTTTATTTCTAAGCAACAGCATATTAGGTAAAAGTCACAAATTAATTATAAAATGGAACTTATTAGTGGAGTTTTCATTTACATGAAAATAGCATATTAATAGTAATTTTTAAAAGAAAATAATATGTATACCTTTATACTTATTTGGAACTTTAGACTTTTAAAAAAATTTCTCAGCATTAAGCCTAATTTCAGACTTTCTTTAAGATCCATGTCAAGGGAAAGTTCATGCTTTTGTAATTACAGAGAAACATTTTTGGTTCCTCAAGATATGATTTTGCTTCCCAAAGTATACACTACACTTCCAGTCTGTATGCTACATGTTGTTAATAATGACACAATGGAACAAGTACCAAAGGTATTCCAAAAGGTGGTGCCTTATCTTTATACCAAGAATAAGGTAGGTGTAAAGTTTGTTCTCCCCATATAATAGAATGGCAGTAAAAATCCATCAGTTTGTAGAGGGGCAGGGAGAAGGTAGGGCAGAGGTATTTTCTACTTAACATGAAAAGAGCCCTGCTCTTTCCTTACAGAAGTCTCATTTATTTGACAACATGAGATACTTAATGTGAATGCTAGAGTATTTATTACCTCTCAGTTCTCTTTTTTCCCCTCTTCCCCAAAGAAAATATGACAAAAAGAAAGCTTTAGAAGTTCTAATTATTGAAATCATAAAATCATGTAAATCCTTAAAACATAAATGGATCTAAAAGAGCTCATTTAGTCCTGTCTCTAAAGCAAATGACTGTCTCTGTTTCCCACTGGGTTTTTATTCTACTGCTCTGTATTTCAGAAAATTGAGATTACACAGCCACCTACCTCCTCAGACTCCCATGGTCTTTGCTAGGGCTACATAAATTCCTTCAGGGGCCAGAAGCACTTGGCACGTTACTCCTGTGGATTGATACATTCTGATCGCTGACCTTCACTCAAACCATGTTGTCTCTCTGTTTATTTAAATCCCATACTCGTGTTTTAGGGAATCATGACAAAGGATAATGTGTACGTGGACTGGAAACCAAGAGATCTGTTTTAGCTCTGATCTTCTATTCTTCAGCTATATAGCTTTGAACTTCATTTTTCTCTTTGAGCTGTGGCTGTACACTTATCTAATGGTTTTGTAGGAATGAAAGATAAGTTAAAAATGTGTTAACTCCATCAAAAATTTAAAACATTTTTGAGCTATTTTAGAGATTTTATGAAACTTTTTAAAAATCAAAGCAATCATTCTTGATCATTTAATCTAATTCATACATATACGTATGTGTATATATGTATATATATATATATACGAGTATTTTCAAAATTTTATTTTTACTGAGTTTTTACTGATTTTTTAATAATTTTAAAAACTCGTATATGTTTTTATTAAAGCCTTAGCATTTTTCTGTTGTTTTTCATGAGATAAATTTTGTTGACATTAAAGTCAGATTTTACTAAATTTGAAGATATTACCAAATTATAACAGCCTTAAATTATTTTTACTTTGTATTAAATTTGGCAAGTTTCACATTTACATTTTATGAGAAAATCTGATAAACATAAACATTTTTGTGTGCAGTTATTTATGTTTGGAATTATACACTTAGACATAATTTTAAAAACTTATTTGATTAAAGTCAATGTATTGACATTTTTGTTTATATTTATTATAATTATGTTAATTTTATTTATACTTACTTTTCTTAATTGTTTTTGACACGGTATTCATATTTCACTTAAAAACAGAACAATTTGCTAATAAAAATCAATTTCTGCACATCAAACATATACTGCCATGTTTATTTGACTCGTACAATTTCCTTTTACACTATACTTATTCTCTTCTATGTACTAATAAATTAAATTTTATTGAAAATTGCAGTTTTATGAAATTTATCTTTTTATAGCAGAAAACCTTGGGTTAAACCAGACACTATAGGGGAGAACTAGTTCTTCAATAGCAAACTTGTTTTCACATCAGTGTATTATTTTTTGAATGTTTGTTTTTCTCAGTTTGACCTAGATTTCTTTTTGAATAGAAACAATTTAACTGTGATTAGAAATAAAAAGTCCCAAAGATCAAGATCAATAAGATGAGTTCATTTAAAGGGAGACTATCAAGATGTCATAGATGTCATCAAAATCTAGAAATGAGCTTTACTTCACTAGATAAAGTATATTAATATTAGTCATGGATACTTAATTTTGGAAGGGACCTTTAAATATCATTTGGTTGACTCAAATAAGAATCTGATTGTTATTTACATCTAGCATATTTTGTGTGGTTGGGTTGGGTTTGTTTTTTATTTTAGTAACTCCAGTAAAGACTTACTTCTCTAGACTAAGCTTGAATTATTTTTAGATGTTCTAAATAATGCATTTTGAGTTACTATGCAGAACCCTCCATCTCCACTTAACTATTATATTTAAATTGTAAATTAGATCACACCAAACACACTTATTTCCTCTCTCATGTCTTTTCTATTCTACCTTTTCACTCTAGATAGCTCTGTTTAGGAAAAAATAATGGAGAGATTGGGGAGGATATAAAATTGTATGACTAGAAGAATAGCTTCAGTGGTAACTTTGTAGTGCAGTTTTCCTCTCTTCATGATTCTTGATCTTTGAACATTTCTCAAAATATTCAACATTCCTCCTAAAATGTGGTTTCCAGAACTGGATGCTGCCTCTGAAGGGAATTCTGACACACCTAAATATAAAAAGGATCATTACTCCATTGTTTTGTATCTTATGATTGCATTAGTGTTTGGGCACCTGCAAGGCATGTTGGTATGGTGGTCTCAAGAGACAACTGGACATCTTTGGCTGGGTAGATAGTGCCTAACAGGTAACCTTAGGTGGAGATTTTGTGGCTAACTCATCATGAGGCATCCTGGCCAATATGAAATTCATCAGAGGCCTTGATGTATGCCTTAATGAACTCTGTAACACCATGCCTGCAATATTTACCTGATTGGGTGTCTTATAATCTTATTTTAAGAAATGAAGTTTTTGTTCCCAGGAAACTCATGTTGGCTTATAAGTATCTGTTTTTTGTTTTTTTTTTTTCTTTTGGGTTCTCTCATGAGACATCCTTTTTTTCATGATCTGCTGTAGAACCTTGATAAAGGACCATTATTAAATTTACTAGTTTGTGGTTGCAGAGTACATATTCTTCAATTTGAAAAATCAAAATTATTCACTCTATTTTTTTCATAATTCCTCGAAGACCACATAATGTCATTGTAATGTAATGTAATTCAGAATACTCATCCATGAGATCTCTCAGTCCCCAGTACTCTATATGTAACTCTTTTACTCTGAGAATCTTGAATCCATTTAGAATAGCCAGGTTCTATCTTATAATCCTATATCACTGGTTTAGCTATAGGTTTTCACTTGATGATACCTATCCCACTATTTTATAACTTTTTTTATCTTAAAATTATTCTCTGAGTCTGGACAAATACAAAGCAGGAGTCATGTAATTTTATTTTGCTTCTTTAATGCATTAGTACCATTTGCTCGAGTAATAATAAAAAAAGCAACAAATCTGTGCATTACACTTTGCAAGTAAAAGTGCTTTAGCATGCATGATTTATCTTCCTTTTTTACTCACCCCAAACATAACGTCAAAAGGTCCTTACTGGTGTTGGCAATTCTCACTTCATTATGAGTTAATATTCCTAGATGTTTATTGATTTTTTTTATTCATTCTGGCTTGTATGTATCTAATTTTTGTTTCTGGAAATCTAAACATATCAGAGAACTTCCTCTTCAACAGAGAACAACTGGAGACAAATCTATCTTTTTATTCTTTATTAGGGGCATCTGAAATTGTAAACTCAGAATTACTTTGAAGCTTTGCATCTTATTATGGTTTCTTGCTCTTGGTTCATGGACTTATTGCCCAGATATCCAGTTGTATTGAACCAAGTTGCTACCTACCATAAAGTAGGTACTTTCCCAGCTTCTTTAGCTGCTTCTTTTCTCTACCCTAAAGAGCTCATTTCCAATTGTACATCTGGGGTCCAAGGAATCAACTCAGTTGTTAATTCCCTAGCTTTACCTGTCATCCGAGGGGGGCTACATTTCTATGAACTCTTATGCTTTTCACACTTCAGTATTTTAGAAAGAGGAATCTGAGAGACAGGAAAATCAAATCAGAAGTTACTGGGCCACTCTAGGATGGTGAGATGATAGAAATTTGCCTTCAGAGGCATTAGAAGAATTAGAAAAAAAAACAGAAATCATCTACTACAGTTAAGCACCTTAAATATAGTTAAGGAACTACACAACGAAAAATGTCAGAGTTAATCATTTTCCTGACAATATGTAAGATGGCACTTTCTAAGAGGAATCTCAAAACATAATGCTAGGGATTCTATCGTTTATTGAGAGATCTCAGGATCTATATGTATATCAAGATAATAAAACATTTAGTACCATGATATATTATACATTTAAGAGACTAGTAACAATATTATTCATTTCTGCATAATTTCTCTTTCTTATAGAAGGGATATACATTTGTGGCTGAAGTGTTTACTGGTGACATGTACGTATTAGCCTCACGATGGAAACTGCGCCTCATTGCTTCTTATACTCCACTCCCATGCCTCTCTCGGGACGCTCCATGCAATACCTTTACTATAAAGGAAATCAGAGATTACTACATACCCAATGATAAGAAAATTTTATTCAGGTACAACTGTGTGACCAAAGGGAAAATGCATTCTTTTAAAAATGTTAATATTTTAGGATAAAAATCAATTCTGCAGTAAAATCTTGGGTTAGTTTTTAATTTGAATTTCTATACTCTTTTAGAAACAATTAATTTAGAGTAATATGATTATACGGGCATTATATAGGATCAAGCCTAGATGGTTGCATATAATGGTAATAATATTTTCTTTGTTGTCATCCTATTTGACTTCAAACATTTTTTGAGACTTTAAACATTCTTTGTGACTTTAAACATTCTTTAGCAGAAATAAGATAACATTGCAATTCCCAATCCTCATTTAAAAAATCTGTTTTCTTCCTTCAGCACTTTCTTGGTCTTCTTTGACATGATGGGCTATTAGGCAGACAGAATTAAAAAATACTGTCGAGCTGTACAACTATTTGCAAATTGCACTTCAAACAGATACACAGTGCACCATTGTCAAAAACTGATAACAGACTGGTGTACTTGACCCCCATAAACTCTCGTCAACCAGCCTCATGCAGTAGTGGCGCCAGTCAGGCCGGAAAGTTAGAACTAAATCATGAGCATGGCAGCCATCAGTTTAGCCCTTATGGTTTAGTAGCTAGTGTTCTAATTGTGCTGGTCAATCTGGGAGGATTTCTAATTGTTCTGGTCAATCTGGGAGGATTATTTTGTAGAAACTTATTTTATTCTTTAGTATTTTAAATACAATCATTTTAAAAATAAAATAAAAATATAAAAGATGAACAAAAATGTATTAATAAAAATAAGAGGATTTGTTCTGGAAAATTTGGATTCAGTCAAAGGGCCACTCTTTTTTGCAAGAGGTTTCCAACCTTTTGGTAAAAGATGAGGATGGAGGCTGTGGGTACTACTTTAATTTTTCTGTATTTTTGTGAATCAAGGAAAACACTGTTATCAGTGAAGCTTCCAAGGGCACTGCTTCTGCCAGTTGTCTCTTTATGTGATGGAAAGGGTTAGTGCGACAATAGTTTGCAGATCTGTTACAGGGTTTAGTGACTTTTAAGTCTATTACATTTTATCAGTGAATGCTTATTATGTCTAAACAAAAAGGTACATTTTTAAATTGGGGATTTGATGATAATAAAAGTCCTTATACTTCTTTTGTTTTACTATACAATGTTAGGATCCTTTGCCAACATCTATAATAACTATTATTTCCAGGATGCTAGCAGACTTTGCAAGGTGGTTTCACTTTTAGCTTTATCATGTCTGAAAATTATACCGTTTCCTTTACTGACTTGAGGGAGAGACTAATATACCTGACTGTAAAGTTAATTTTTTTGACAGGTATTCAGTTAAAGTGTCAGTACCACAACCTGTTACGATACACGTGCGCACGTCCAAACCAGATGCTTTCGTCAAGCTGCAGGTCCTAGAAAATGAAGAAATTATGGTGAGCTCCATTGGAAAAGGCCAAGCTATAATCCCAGCATTCCACTTCTTGAGAAGTGATAAAAATGTGAGCTCCCAATGTAAGTGTGCCTTTTTGAACTGCATATTTGCTTTCATAAATATTTATGTTTGCATGACATTGTAAAAATGAAGATAAAATAGCAAGTAACCACTTAAATATGTAAAACTTAATATTATAGTAAAATATTAAAATGCCACTATTGCATTTGCATGTCAAATTAGGCTCTGAAAATTAATAAATTGGTTATATGTGTACTTTAAAGACTTTTCACCTTGGAGAAAATTTTACTTTCTTATTACACGAGCTTTCTTAATAAGTAGAATTTTTATTATTCTGAAAGAATTTTTTACTTTTCTTTCATTCCCAATGCATGATTTTTAGAAAATATTCCACTTATTAAAGTTAACAGAAACTTTAAAGTTATTACTTTCAATATGATATTCTTAAATACTTATTAAATACATAAAATAAATTTTTCTGAAATAATGGTTAACAATGAAACTCAGAGGTGTATTATTTATTCAGTTACTTTAGTAACTTGATTCTGACCAAACACAGAAAATTTGGAAAAATAGAAAATTATAAACAAGGAAATAAGAAATTCTCTATAATCATGCTACCCAGAAAAAAATATTGTTAATAATTTAGATTTTTTGGCCAAATACACTGTAAATATTTTAGCTTTTATGCTTCCATTCTCCAGTTTTGCATTTACATTTTAAACAAAATCAGAATCTTATTTATTTTGCCAATTGATATTTCTTCTTAAAACCATACCGTTTTTCATTTTTTTGTGGCATCAGTTGGGATCTCCAAACCAATGGTAAATAAAAGTGATCACAATCCTGACATGCATATTGTCCAAGTGACTGAACTCACTTGCTTTATACATATTGTCCAATTTTATCATTTTTTATGGTGGAAGAATAAGTATAATGCTCGTTATTCTGTTATGGCTGGAATTGAAATTTTCCTGTGTCATTCACTTAGGTTCCCTCAATAATACCTGTTTGATGAATTAATTAATAATATTCAACACGTTTCTCTCTTTATTTCTATCAAGTGTACTTATATTATCTGTTAATTACAAAATAATAAAAATATAAATTAAAAATTAAAATGAAAGTCTTTTAAAGTGTGATAACATACACAATGGTGTTAAACATTAACAAAGTCAGAGTCTGTGATGTTATTAATAGTTAGTGTCATTTGAGTGGTACAAAATAAAGGAGAAACTGTTGAATTGTTGTATATTCTTTTAGCAATCAATAGTTGTTCAGAATATTCACTGCTCTGTGCAGGTAACATATGGTTATAGCAGATTTCTTTATGACCAGAATATTTCCAAGAAGCCAGTCATGTTGGGTTTAATCTCATTAAAACAAAAAGAATTGACCTATTTCTTTGAGTATTTTATAAAGAGATCTAACTAATGTAGTTAATAAAAATTATATATATACAACACGTTTTAAATTAAACTTAAAATTTCTCCTATTCAGCTAGCAAACAAGTTCTTTTAGTTCATGCTGCATCCAAGAAAGAACAAGAAGTAAATGTTAAGAAGAAAGCTACCCCAGGAAGTCAGAAATCCTTTAAGGGTAAACCTGGAGGTATAATACAAGACGTTGGTCTGCCTCTTTTGGAGGAGGAAACTACCAGTACATCCACCACAGAAGATATTCCTAGCACGCCACAGCAGGTATATTTACGTTAAAAAGAAGTATTCAGTTGGACTGCTCCTAAAAATCTAGTACAACATAAAACAATCCACTTCCTAAAACTTGTCAATATATGCTATGCAAGGTCACCAGTGTATAAGCAGAATTGAAGAATAAAACATTCTTGACTATTTCTCTGTGACAAATCTTCAAATACATGGCAAATTTCATCTGTATACTAAATTATGTAGATATAATTATCTAACTTTACACTTGAGTCATGAGTCTATATAACTTTGAAAGTCACATACTATTAGTAATAAAGGTCACATATGAAAGATCACATATTAATAAAAACTAATCTGTATGTGGTTAAAACTGCAGGAAAAACGGACAATGCATATATTTTAAAGCAGCAGAAAAAAACATGATCTGGTCTTTGGAAACCAAAAACAAAAAAAGTAAAAGGAATTGAAAAGAAAAGAAAGTGCCAGAATTAAATACTAATATAGTAATTACACTAAATTCAAACAGATTAAATTAATCAATTAAAAGGCTAAAATTTTAAAGATATATAAAAAATAATATCCAACTATAAGTAGTCCAAAACGACACTTTTAAACAAAATGCCAAAGAAAGATTAAAAATACAAAGATAAACATACCTGGCAAATATGAAATGAGACCTGTGATGATAGATTTAACACATCAATACACATGATTTATAAAGGATATTATAAATCAAGTAGATATGAGCATAACTAACATAGAAGCACCTAACTACCCAAACACAATAAATAAAAAGAAAAAAACTATTAGAACTATGGAGAAAAAAAATAAGTCAACAATTAACAATTGAATATTTTAACACAGTGGTCCCCAATCCCAGGGCCACAAACAAGTACCAGTCCATGGCCTGTTAGGAACCGGGCGTCACAGCAGGAGGTGAGCAGAGGCAAGCCAAGCCCGTGAAGTTTCATCTCTGTTTACAGCCACTCTCCGTGGCAGGCATCACCGCCTGAACTCGGCCTTCTGTCAGATCAGCGGTGGCATGAGATTCTCACAGGAGTGCAAACCCTACTGGAAACTGTGCATGCCAGGGATCTAAGTTGTACTCTCCTTATGACAATCTAATGCCTGATGATCTGAGGTGGAGCGGAGGTGGTGATGTAGCACTGGGGAGTGGCCGCAAATACAGATTATGTCTGCTAAGGCAGAAGGTTTGACTGCACAGAGAACATAATTAATCAGTTGCTTTCAGAGTCATATCAAAACCCTATCAGTGAGTGGCAAGTGGCAATGTAGTAATAATAGAAATAAAGTGCACAATAAATGTAATGCGCTTGAATCATCCCTAAACCATCCACCCTGATTACAAGGATTTGAAAAATCTAAGTATAAGCTTAATAGCTTAGATATCTGTATAAAGCACTTTACCTAATAAACAAAGAATATACTTTTTCTTTGCACATACATTATTTTTTTAAAAATATCCTGTAATAGGTAATAAATGGAAGCCTCAATAAAATCCATACTATCTATATTATATAGATATGTTATCTGAACATAATGCAATAAACTAGAAATGAATAATTAACAGGTAGTTTCAAATCCCATAAATGTGAAAACCTAAAGTATGTTAAATAATCCTTTAGCTAAAAAGAATATCAAAAAGAAATTATGAAATACATAAGATTCAATAAAAGTAAAAAAATTGTAAGCAACATCTAAAATAGCATTTAATGGAATGCTACTTTTAGATTAATTCATTAAAAAGCATGAATAATCAGAAACAAATGAGCTAAGCTATTATAATAAAAGTTAGGAAAAAAGCAAGAAAGTAACTCAAAGATAAAAGAAAAAGGGTTTTAGTAAAGATGAGAACAGACATCAATGAAATGGGGAACAAAAATAAATTAGATTAAAAAATTCTAAGCTACTTCTTTTAAAGATTAATAAACTAGATATACTTCTAGTAAGATCAATCAAGAAAAAGAGAGAAAAAATATGTAAATTAACCAATTACAGAACAACAACAACAAAAAGGGTGAAGACGACAACAGGTTTAAAAAAAATTAAGAATGTTGTAAACAACTCTGTGCCAACAAGAGGAGAGCAGGAAAGGCAAAGTTGATTTACAAGAAAATAGAAAACATGAGTAAAACAATAAAGAATAATAAAATTGAAATGATAATCCAAAGTCTTCTAAGTCTTCATTTTCCAAAAATCTATAGGCCAAGCTCTAACAGACTTTCTAGGAGCAAATTGTTCTAGAAAACAAAAAAATTATACAGATCTTCCAAGGCTTTTTAAGAGATTAATGTAATTCTCATTCCAAAACAAGATAAAAGTTACAAAAAAAAGGTGAATAAATTCATTTATAAACATGAATGAAAAATTATAAAGAACATACTACATAACAATTCTACTGGTGCATAAAGTGATCAGTAGCATTCATCTCAAGAATTCAAAAGTGTTTTGCTGTTAAAAATGTATCAGTATTAGTCACCATAGTAATTTTGACTAGATGAAAATATATAACCCTGAAACATTTGATTAAGTTCAATATTTATTACAGATTTCTCAAAAGTGCTTTTAGCAAACTAGCATAGAAGAGAACTTTTCAACGGTAAATGTTACATATCAAAAAATCTTAAACTTAATGGAGAAGTCTTATATACAAAAAATTACATTAATGAGAAAATTTAGGTGTATTCCTATTAAAATTGGAATAAGAAAGTGCGGGGGAGTAGTTGAGGCAGGCCCGCGAAGAGATCAGCTGCTTCTCCCTGGGGAACTATGTCCCTAAGATAGGGGTCATCACAGAGGATAAAAAAATTGATAGGAAATAGAATAAAAGAATACACAGAGACTAAGGTATAGTTTATAGTTTTATATGAAAAGATCAGATATAACAGCGGGGGTACTCAGGAGACTGGACATATGCCCATGAACGTCCAGCAATATGGTCAGATTCATACAGGTTTTTGTAATCACAGACATCAATTACCAATTGTCAGGATAACATATTTGCATATCAGGGAATGCAGTTGCTAGGGGAGACTGATAGTGGGTTAGGGTCAAAAGTCCTCTCAAAGGGCTTCTAATCTATCTAGGTGAACAAACAGGTATAAAGTCTTTCAGGGGCTAACGTCTAAGTTATAAGACGGTAGTTGTCAATTAACAAAGGTAAAACAAAAGAGGCATAGTGACTCTATATTTCTTTGAATATTTATTGTAGACTTAAAGGTACACAGACAGGAGAAAGTAGGAAACCCATCTCTATAAAACAGGTTGTTTATAACCACCAGGGTGCATCTCTGGGCAAAGGGCATTCATTATCTCTGGCTCCCATCCTGTGGGCTATATTTGCCTTGCCTTGTCTTTCAAGACACAGGGAGGCTCACAGATTTTGAGATACTGGAAGGCCTTCTTGGAAAACATCCCTACGGGAGATTTGAGAGCTCTCTTATGATAGTACCCTCTAATAAGTGAACCATTGAGTCCACACATTCCTTCAGGGCAAAACCCTGCAAACTCCTGTTTCTGTATTCAATATAGTAATATAGGGCGATATAATAAAAATAATGATCTTATGAGCCATATTTCATTAATTCCTCAATCATATTTCTCAATAAGAAAGAGTGTCAACTATCATTGCTATTAATAGTATTTAATGATACTGGAACATTGTGATAATGGAGAGTCAGACCAATAATACAAGAAACAAAATAAATAAAAGAGTATTTGAAATAATCACTGAGTTATTTATAGATGGTATAATAGCAAGATTGTCAGAGACAATCTTATTAATAATAATGAGTACATATATATTTATTTGCTCGTCATCTACTATGTACCCGGTACTGTGTATACATACAGATCTTTAATTCTCCCATAAATTATTTATTTATTTTTTTTATTTCAGCATGTTACAGGGGTACAAATGTTTAGGTTATATACATTGCCTTTGCCCCACCCGCGTCAGTGCTTCAAGTGTGTCCATCCCCCAGACAGTGCACAGTGCACCCATTAGGTGTGCATATATCCATCCCCACCTCCCCGTTCCATCTGCCCAACACCCGAGGAATGCTACCACTATATGTGCAACTCTTGAAGTAAGTATTCTATCACTGTTTAACAATCAAGGAACCTGGAGCACAGAGAGCATAAATGACTTGCTCAAGGCCAAACAGCTAGTTTGTAATGAAGTAGGACTTGAACGCAGAGAGCTCCAGCCCCTGAGGCCATACTCTTAACCAGCACACTATGGCTTGTACAACTTCCAATACTCATAGCCTTTCTTTACACCAGCACTATGTGTTAGACACTAGAATAGGATGCCTTTCATCACAGCAACAGAATTGTAAAATATCTAGGAATTAACCAGTAATACATCAATTCTCTATAGAGAAAAACTTAACACTTCAATAAAGGACATAAAAGCAAATGATACAAGCCATATATGACATACCCATAGCCAACATCATACTGAATGGGAAAAATTGAATCATTCCCACTTAGAACTGGAACCAGAAAGGCTGCCCACTATCTCCACTTCTGTTCAACATAGTGCTGGAAGTCTTGGCTACAGCAATCAGACAGGAAAATGGAATCAAAGGTATCCAAATAGGGGCAGAAAGATCAAACTTTCACTGTTTGCTGATGATATATGATATTGTATCTAGAAAACCCCAAAGATTCAACCAAGAAACTCCTGGAACTGATCAATGAATTTAGTAAAGTCTCAGGATACAAAATCAATACACAGAAATCAGAGGCATTCATATACGCCAACAACAATCTAATTGAGAACCAAATCAAAGACTCAATTCCCTTCACAATAGCAACAAAGAATTAAAGTACCTAGGAATATCTAACCAAGGACGTAAAAGACCTCTACAGGGAGAACTATGAAACACTGAGGAAGGATATAGCAGAGGATGTAAACAGATGGAAATTCATACCATGCTCGTGGATCGGCAGACTCAATATCATCAAAATGTCTATACTACCCAAACTGATCTACAGATTCAATGCAATACCTATTAAAATCCATCAGCATTCTTCACAGATATAGAAAAAATAATTTACGCTTCGTATGGAACCAAAGAAGACCCGAATATCAAGAGCAATTCTAGGCAACAAAACAAAATGGGAGGCATTAATATGCCAGATATCAAACTATACTACAAAGCTGTAGTAACTAAATCAATATGGTATTGGCACAAAAATAGGAATATTGACCAGTGGAACAGATGTGAGAATCCTGATATAAAACCATCCTCATATAGCCAGCTAATCTTTGATAAAGCAGACAAAAACATATGCTGGGACAAAGAATCCCTTTTCAATAAATGGTGCTGGGAAAACTGGATAGCCACCTGTAGAAGGCTAAAACAGGACCCACACCTTTCACCTCTCACAAAAACCAACTCACGCTGGATAACAGACTTAAACCTAAGGTATGAAACTATTAGAACTCTAGAGGAAAAAGTTGAAACACTCTCCTAGACATTGGCCTGGGCAAAGAGTTTATGAAGAAGTCCCAAAGGCAATCACAGCAGCAACAAAAATACATAAATGGGACATGATCAATACAAACTTCTGCACAGCCAAAGAAATAGTCATGAAAGTAAACAGACAACCTACAGAATGGGAGAAAATTTTTGCATCCTATGCATCCGATAAGGGACTGATAACTAGAATATACTTAGAACTCACGAAAATCAGGAAGAAGAAATCAAATAACCCCATTAAAAAGTGGGCAAAGGACTTGAACAGAAACTTTTCTAAAGAAGACAGAAGAATGGCCAACAAACATATGAAGAAATGCTCAACATCTCTAATCATCAGGGAAATGCAAATCAAAACCACAATGAGATATCACTTAACCCCAGTGAGAATGGCCTTTATCAAAAAATCTCCAAACAATAAATGCTGGCATGGTTGCGGAGAGAGAGGAACACTCCTACACTGCTGGTGGGACTGCAAACTAGTTCAACCTCTGTGGAAAGCAATATGGAGATACCTTAAAGCGATACAAGTGAATCTACCATTTGATCCAGCAATCCCATTGCTGGGCATCTACCCAAATGATCCAATGACACTCTACAAAAAAGACACCTGCACTCGAATGTTTATAGCAGCACAATCATAATTGCAAGGCTGTGAAACAGCCCAAGTGCCCATCAATCCAAGAATGGATTAATAAAATGTGGTATATGTATACCATGGAGTACTATTCAGCTCTAAGAAACAATGGTGATATAGTACATCTTATATTTTCCTGGTTAGAGCTGGAACCCATACTACTAAGTGAAGTATCCCAAGAATGGAAAAACAAGCACCAGATATATTCCCAGCAAACTGTATTACCTGAGTAGCACCTAAGTGGACACATAGGTACTACAGTAATAGGGTATTGGCAGGGGAGGGGAGGGGCGGTATATACATACATAATGAGTGAGATGTGCACCATCTGGGGGATGGTCATGATGGAGACTCAGACTTTTGGGGGAGGGGGGGAAATGGGCATTTATTGAAACCTTAAAATCTGTACCCCCATAATATGCTGAAATAAAAAAAAAAAAGCAACTGGAGAACTTAGATGACTTGGATAAATAGAGAAGTATTTCATGTTTTTCACAGAGGTGAGACAATAGTATAAAGACACCAGTGACCCCCAATTTACTTTTAAATTCAATGCAATCTCAATCAAAATTCAAACTGCATTTGTCAGAAAATTTCTAAACTTACTCTAAAAATCATAGGACTTAATAACAATTCACAAATAGTTAAGTCAACTTTGAAAAAGAAGAGCAAAGTATATCTTAATATTTCTAAATATTGAGACAGTAAAAAACATAGCAGTAAAAAATAGTATTAATTAGTCCAAAAAATAGGAAAATGAAGCAATGGAAGAAAGTAAAATAGGAATATATCCATTTTTGTGTAGAAATTTAATATAGAATTAAAGGCAACACCATAAATCAGAGAAAACATGCACTGTTGAGTGGATAGACCATTAGCTAACAGCATAAATAAAGGCAAATTCCAGATGTATTGGAGATTTCATTGTAAAATTCTAATTCATAAAAGTAATAAAATAATAGATTATGTAGGCAATCATTTTTTTGTGCTCTAAGCACAGAAAGGGAAAACCCTAAAGGCCAACAGCTTTGAAAGAAATACTGAAACTCTTTGATCATCTGAGAAATGTGAAATACAACTGCAGTGAGATTCCACTTTCTACCAATTATACTGGCAAAAATTAGAAGGTTAGGCAGTAGCAGGTGTTGATGGGTATGTGAGGATATGAAACTTTTATAAATTATAGTGTTATAAAATTTTAGAGAACAGCTGGGTTTATTTATAATCACACGATCTAGAAAATTATGCATTTATCATGTGCCTAGAATAATAAATTATAGCGGGCACATACTGTGTCTATTCTTATTGTCTGTTCTTAAATGCTGCATTTTATTTCACAGCTTTACAAGTATATCATACAGTGTTTGGTGTTGTATAACAGTTGGCCTCTCACTGAAAATCAACTGACGTTTGTTCAAGCACTAAAAGACTTAGAGAAAAGTGATGCCAAAGGTATGTCACCCTAAATATTCATACATGCACTTTACATTTTATGTAACTATTTAATAGTAAATTGATCATGTAATTATTAAAACACATTGCTTATAATTTGTAATCTATATCTTGTGGCATTTCCTTTTGTTAATTGATTATATATTTCAACATTTTTACTGCCTGGTTTATGAGAAACAAAAATATATGTTTATTTCAATTTAATTTAAGCACATTTTGTCTACTAGGTAAAAATAACTCATTGAGTATACTTTTGAACATTTCAAGAAATGTATAAGAAACTTTTCTATTTAAAAATTATATCTGCCAACAATTGTTGAGAAAGTATGCACTAAAGATAAGCTCTTAAATATTTTATAAATTATTCAATTCCAGAAAGGAGAATCTCTAATGAAAAAGGACTCTGGTTTATTTTTTCAAAATATAAGCTATTCCTAATATCCATGAGCAGGAAGTGACAATTTGATGCTTTTAAAAACAAGAGAATCAAAAGATCAAAAAGAAATTTCAAATAGCCTCTACCCTAAGCTTTATATCCCATCGTGCAATATCATAATTGCATCTGAAGCAATATGTATTTACTATTTTTATGTTCTTTTTAAAATTTTAAGCCAGATTACCTGATCATAAAAATAATACATGCAAGTTATTTTAAAAGTAAAATAAAACCACAAAACAAAACTGCATAACACAAAAAGCAAAAGCCTCCATTTCTTCCTGGGCCCCATAAACCTTAGTCCCAATACTCCATGATATCCACCACCAAAGCCTGCTGTGTTATCTTTCAGAATCTTTAATGCATATGTATATTGTACTTCTGATAAGACACAAACTCTTAATTCTTCTCATCCCCTAACAGTCAAATTTACTTTCTTAGTGTCTAATTTCCCTATTATAATGCAAGCCCCTGAAGGACAGGGAATTTTGTTCATTTTTTGCCTGTTTGATTCCTTGCATTATAATCTAGTTAGATACTATACACACAGCAAAACACTCCATAATGTTTATTGATACACGTAAGCTAGTCTTAGTATTATTGCCCTTATTTACTAATTGTCAAAATCTCTGTTGAGGTGTTCACTTGCTTGTATCATCTGCACGGACCTCACCAGGAAAGACTTAAGAGAGGTTTGTTTATACAGAATTAAGAGAAAACTATTATTGCTAGGCTTAGCCTTTCTTAGAAGGGACAGATTCTAGTATAGGTCATAAAATTCAAAGAGAGATTATAAAAGTCTATGACACCAGCAGTTCCCATGTCCATTAGAATGTGCTGAATGTGCTTCCATAGCAACACATCACACTGTGGAAATCGCTGCCTTGCTGGTCTCTGCTGCTCCCCTCTCACTGGGCTGGGGACCTTGTCTCCCTCAACCTCATCTTTACCTCTCCAGCGCCAAACAGAAGATGTTAGTAAGTGTTTATTGAATGAACATGTGAATGTGCTATGCCAGCGACAGCAGGCATGTTTAATCCTGATGGCTTCCTGGCCTGCTGTGTTGACAAGATCCTGAGTCTGTGATCTGGCTCAACAAGAAAGTTTTGTGATCTTTTATCAATGGCTAACACGGACACACAAAGAGAAAGTGGCAGCATTCAAGCCACCATCATCATCTCATTGCTATTCACACGTGTTATGTATATAACCCCTAAGTAAAGTCACGGAATATGAATTTTGCTAAAATCTCTCTTCATTCTACCTCAACCTCCCCTCACACAGCCAACACCCATGTTGCCCAGCACCGCTGAGAATTTCTGAAATAGCAGGCAAGGCTTTGATTTCGTATTCTTGCATACTATAATAGAAGAGATTACAATTATTCCATGAATAAATGTCATATGGAAGCTGAAAGCTCCTTGTAGGCTACATCCCAAGCTGGATATGCCCAATGATGATTCCTTCACTGAGGCTGCACAGCCAGTGGCTTTGGCTAGGGCTGACCTGGTAGCCACGGGCCTGTGCCCCTGCTTAGTCCCTATCCCCTCTCTCTGGTACCCACCTAACCCTCCCTAAGTCTGCCTTATGGATCATCTATTGCTGCGCATTTGGGCCCATTGATTATTTCGCAATCTTCCACCCAGACCCACAATGTTCTAATGGAAAATAAATGAGAAAAATCTATTAATTGTATTTGTTTATTCCACTTTGCATGTTACCACATTCTCGTTCTCTCTCTAATTTTTTTCCCATCAGGCTATCACTGTTGTTCTCCCATAAATTAGCCATTACCCTATCTCCACCTCCCTATGGTCCAAATCAAAATCTCTTAGTTCATACTGTGTCCAAATATATATATATATATTATTTTTTTTAATCTATGTTTTCTATGTCAGCCAATAGAAACCTGGTTGAAACAGTGGATGGCACAAATCACGTGGTCGTTTTACGTCCCTCTACTGCAAAGAAGTAGATACATATTATGTGCTAAATACCAATGGAGTTAAATATTGTATGCTAAAGATCTAGGTAAAAATAACATATTCACAATTATACAGATAAAGAAATAAAGAATAAAGAAACAGCACAGTTTTGTGTGAGCTCATGTGTTCAACAAAGCTATTCTTGTTTCCTTTTTCATTTTTCAAGGACAATTCATGGGACTGATATAATATAGATTACATTTCCAGGGACTAGGAATTTTAATAGATCAGAGAGCCAAAGCTCAGTTTTTTGCCTGTGTGAGTTTTTTCATCAGTTGCCTGTAGCTCTTTATGCTTCTGTTTTCTATATTATATCATGCCTGTCTCAATAAGCTCAAAATAGTAATGCTACTATTCTTTATAGCAATTAAAAATGTGAACCCAAATCCTTATGACAAGGGAAGGAATTATCCCATCATAAATAATGAAAAGAAAACAAACACAACAGCCTTGCTAAATTCAACTGAAAATCCTGTTCGCATGGAAAAACCATTCCTGAATAATGTTCAGACAAGATTAAAAGAATATGCAATGATTAAACAGGAAATATTTGTGAAAACATTTTAAGCTTTTCAGAGCAAAGTGGTTAGCATCATATAGTGCAATGCTATTGGGATAGTGAATGGAGTTGCTTTCTTCCCAACTCTCTAAGAAAACTTCTAATATCTAAACGGTACAAGTAAAATACCTCAAAATATCCTTAAATTTAGTCATATATATATTTTAAATAGCTACATATATTTTCTTCCTTAATTAGAAATTTAGTTCCAGCTCATATAAACTGAGTGCATTATGTGAAATTACATAAATTTGGGGAGTTTAGAAAAAGAAGAAATGATATTTTGAAATGGTGTGGAAAGTTAGGATAAAATAGTTTGAACAAAATAGTTTGTTCAGAGAAGTCTTGAAGAATACCAAGAATGAAAAATAAAGCTCTACCTTGGTGTTAGAGGTGACAAGAAGGAGAATATGCCTCAAAAGACACCCAGAAACCTGCTCTGGATCCACATCACTCACAGGACCACCCACCAGGCACCAGGTGTGGCAAAAGAGGAGCTTATTCCAGCCAGAGAATGTGAGGGACAAAGCAACAAGGAAGCTCTATGCACATGTCCCACTATTCAAAGCCATTCTCTTCCTCCTTCTAGGTCAGGAATGAGGGGAAGAACTATTCAGAAATGTTTTCACTCTCTTAGTTCACAGAAATTCATTATTGTCGATATTAGGACTTCACAGTGTTAGCCACTGGCAACCCTAAATTGTCACTGCTCTTCAAAAATACACAGTGGGTGAGAGAAGAAAAGGGTTATACACAGGGAAAAAAAGGAGGAAGAGTGTATACCAATATGTTCAAGTGGTTATTTCTGAGTGTTGAAATTCTTAGTAATTTTACTTTCTCATTTATGTTTTTAATACCTAAAAACAAATATATAAATCAGAAGTTGTAAATGAGCAAATACTACTTTAATCAGAAAAAAGACTGTACTTGTATTTTATAAGCAAAAAAAAAAAGAAACTCTAAAGAGACCTATAAGTTTAATCATTATGATTGCTTGAATGCTATTATGTATCTCTTACTCTATTTAGTATTAATACTTTACATTCATTATTCCCAATTCTAACAACATCTCTGAGTAGTAGTTACTACCATCTCAATTTTACAGATGAAGAAATGAGGCTGTGATGCTATAAATAATTTGCCTAAGTTTACACAGCTAGGAAGGAGTAGAGTGAAGATTTTAACCTGAGTCTGACTTACTTAAAACACAAAATCTTTCCACTATATCATGCAAGTTCTTTAGTGACTTTCTAACTAGTAGTATTGGCATAGTAATGGTGGTACCGGTATTAGCTGCTAACATTTATGTCAGATGCTGTCTAATGGCTTTACATATATTGACCCAATTAATCCTCCCAATAAACCTGTGAGGTAGGTTTTATTACTACAGTATTGTCATTTTATAGATGAGGTAACTGAAGCACGGACAGTTTAAGTAACTTGCCCTTGGTCACACAGCTAGTTGCTGGCATGGCTAGGATGTTGAATGGAAATTAATTATCTACCAAGAGCTTTTGAATAGGAAAAAATAATAATGTACAATAGTACCAGTTTCATATTTTTATCATGTCCCACATAAATGTCTTTATTTAGGGAGCTGTCCATATTACTTTAGTGACCATAAACATTTGTGTATGGGCTTTATCATGTTTTTCTGTGTATGAATGGATAAATGTTAAAATTCTGAGGAAAACCAAAGAAAAATATTAATATCTAAAATGGACAGAGTAGTATAACTCATGAAATAGAATAATGTAAAACATAGAGTTGAGTAATGGTACAAAATTAATAATGAGAGTTAAATTTTTGAAAGGAAGTCATTAAATGGGGAAATATAACACAGTGACTAAACTTTCTTAGGTTCAGCTACCTGAACTTGAGTTATTTGTCACCTGAAAAGTTAGAATAACCACTCCTTTCTTTCTAGGTTGTTTCAAGCTAAGATATATAAAGTTCCTAGAACCTAGTAAAAGTCAACAAATAGTAATATCATTCTTATGTATTCCAAATAGAAAGTAAG